AATGCTTCCCCTCCAGAATATTCTACATAGGAAAAGTAGATTGGGAAAATAATTACTTTTAAATAGATTTGTGGGATAAAATGTTTAGTTGGTGGGATATTGGTTATTCTGTATTTAATATCTTTGCGACTATTTCTTAACCTTCAGATTTCTTTATAGTATAGGTAGTTCTCATTTGGCAAGCAAAACTGGGACTGGCAACTCAGTCATTAAGCAAAACAATCGCTAAATGGAAACACATGTGCTGCTTGTGATCTTTCTTCAGCTCCCCTTTACTTTATAGACCTGTTAAAGATAATAAATATGAGAATTTACTGCAGTTACTTTTTCATCACCATCACAACTGTGAATAGTCACTAAATGAGGTGGTCACTAAACAAGGACTACTGTAACTTTCAGTAACTTCATTCTGAGTTACAACCAATTGTAACTCCCTGTTCAGTGGATGTACATCGGCAGCAGTATTTGTTCCCATTCATACTCAAATATTTCAGGTTTGTGTTTTTTCTAGCTTTTTCCAAATGTATCTCCCTTTATTCTCAACGTACTGGCTGAAAATTATAGGGACTGTACGCTGCATATCCAAAAATCTGCAGTTTAAGGCAGGGTTCTCCAACCTTGGCAACTTTAAGACTTGTGAACTTCAGTTCCCAGAATTCCTCAGCCAGGAATTCTGGGAGTTGAAGTCCACAAGTCTTAAAGTTGCCAAGGTTGGAGAACCGATTTAAGGAATGTTCACAAAATTATGAGGAATGTTCACAAAATTATGCCTGTGTACCATCTTTCTTCAACAGGTTGGTTCTTCCTTCAACTTGATTGCTAGCCCCAAAATTTATGTTTTACAAATGTTCCCTTTTTGTCTTCTTCCAATGGCTTTTATATTTTATATGTATTTTAGAAATTAAAAAGCAACCAAAAGACTTGACAGTGTTGTTATTTTCCTTCTTTGGGGCAGCAAATACTTTATACTCCAATTCTCCTAGCTTTCACAAGGGAAACTCTTGTTTAGAGAGAAGGCCGTGAAAGATTATGATTCGGCTAGCTCTTCTTTAGAATAGAATTCTTTATTGGCCAAGTGTGATTGGACACACAAGGAATTTGTCTTGGTGCATAAGCTCTCGGAATACATAAAAGAAAAGATACATTCATCAAGAATTATAAAGTACAACACTTAATGATAGTCATAGGGAACAAATAAGCAATCAAATCATATTAGGAAACGGTCAATATAAATCGTAAGGATACCAGCAACAAGGTTACAGTCATACAGTCATAAGTGGGAGGAGATGGGTGATAGGAACGATGAGAAGATTAATAGTAATGCAGACTTAGTAACTAGTTTGACATTGTTGAGGGAATTATTTGTTTAGCCGACACAATTTTACCATCAACTCAAGTCGCTAAGTGATGTGGTCACTAAGCATAAAACTATGTGACCACGATGGGCTTACGATGTCACATCTATTTGGTTGTTAAGTGAATCACGACGGCTGTAAAGTAAAGTGTCCCATGACTGTGTCCTCCATTATTCTATTTGTCACAAGTCAATTGTGAAGCATGTGAATAGCAATCATTCAGCTCTGGGATGCTGTGGTATAAATGTGTACTGGTTGCGAAGTGCCTGAATGATGATCATGTGATTGGGATGCTGGGATGGTTGCGCCATGGAATTTGTGTCAGATGTCTTTTTTTAAAAAAAAAAAAAAAATTCTACCTTTGACATTGCATGAGGCAGTCAGTAAGCGAGGACTACCTGTAGCAAATTGCAATTTAAATATAATTCTCACAGCTATGTCAAGGGCAGCCACAATCCGTACTACAGTTATTCATTCACTGCCTTACAGTCTAACTGGGCAAGCCACAGGTAGTCCTTGACATGCGATCACAATTGAGCCCAAACTTTGTTGTTAAGTGAGTTTTGCCCCATTTTATGACCTTTCTTGCCACAGGTGTTAAGTGAATCACTGCAGTTGATAAGTTAGTAACCTGGTTGTTAAGTGAATCTGGCTTCACCATTGACTTTGCTTGTCAGAAAATAGCAAAATGATCATAAATATGACTCAGTTGCCAAGCATCTGAATTTTGATCTCATGATCATGAGGGGTCGTAACTATGAAAGGTCACTTTTTTCAGTGCCGTTGTAACTTTGAAAGGTCACTAAATGAACTACACGATGATTGTAGCATCTCCATAGTCACGTCATCAAAATTCGGATGCTTGGCAACTGACTTATGTTTATGACGGTTGCAGTGTCCCGGGGTCACATGATCACTTTTTGTGACCTGATAAGCAAAGTCAATGGGGAAGCCAGATTCATTTAACAACCGTATTACTAAAAGCTAGGGATTCACTTAGCAACTATGGCAAGAAAGGTCATACAATAGGGCAAAATTCACTTAACAACTGTCTCACTTGGCAGCAGAAATTTTGGGCTCCGTTGTAGTCATAAGTCGAGGACTAACCTGTATTGTGGCATTTGAACATTTAAACTGCTTACAAGCTTCCCCAGAACTCTTGTTATTTTTGTAGATGAGAACCGAGTGGTCGTGACTGGTTGTTCCTAGGCTCCCTTATTCACTTTGCACATTGCTTTTGGACTGCCTGTGTGGTATAACTACTGGACTGTCTGCCTTGCTGACAAAGTAACCTACTCCCATCCATATTAGGCAAAAGTGCAGCTTAAAGTCTACAGAGGGTGCTAATTTGCCATCTGGCAAAGCACAGATCTGTGCCTGGGAATGAATAAATATTTAATCTTGTTGAGATCTGAAGAATCTATCCGCCGCCAAGCACAAATAGTTGCCTTTTTGTAAAGAACACAAGCAATCTTAGGAATAATAAGAGCCCAGACTTAACAAAAAGATTGCACTAAAAAGAGGAGTTACTAAACTGGGGGTTTCTGCAAAGGACAAATAGTTGCTGGCTACTGCAGACTGTTAGCTCTTTGGAAGGCACGCTTAGAGCATTCAGTGCAATTGCTGAAGTTTTTAAATCACTGTTTTTCAAATTTAGCAACTTTTAAGATGTGTGGACTTCCAAGCCTGGAATTCCCATGCTAGCTGGGGAATTCTGGGAATTGAAGTCCACATCTTAAAAAGTTACTGTGTTTGAAAAACACTGTACACTGTACAACATTGTTTTAAACAAGTAGGCATTAATATGATGTAGTTATGGTTCATACTGTATGATTTTCCATTCTAACCTGTTTCTCAATGCAAAAATACATTACCATCGTTAATCAGAATTTGGGAAAGATGTTCAGATAAAAAGATTACCTCACCAACGTGGCCAAGTTGCCTCCATTTTATATCTACTATAAAGAAAAGTGGGACTGGGCATCTTATCACAAGATTTAAATTACAGTGGTTTTGATTTAGGCCTGGGATAGATTGCATTGCGATGCTTGTAGTTTCCCTCACATTGTACACTATCACTTTAAAGTTTCTTGGCAACAATATGGCTAGTTTTGCTACTACCACCTCAAATTATTTTTCAACTATTCAGGCTATAGCTCTGAAATCTCCTTGGTGTCTCCCATCCAAGTGCTAACCAGGAATCTCTCCATTTACCCTTTCACTGTGAGCAATATGTTCATATACACAACACACTATATTTCTAAAGGATGATTTTAGATTTTCTTATTCTATGGGCTTGGGACAAATTAATTCAATAAAAGAAAAGGGCAAGTGAAGACTGATTTGAAACAGTGAAGGAAATAATGAGAGGCAAGTAGAGAAGACTAGAAATTGAAAGATTCTGTGAGAAATAAGAGTAGGAATTGACAAACTATTAAAAATATATTATGGTTTTGCATATTTGGGGGGGATGTTCCCATGTATACTGCAATAGTGGATGTTGGAAGAAGCTAATTTCAGCGATGGCATCAAAGCGCAATGTACACATCTTAGGAGTCTGGATCTGTCCTTTATTACACCTGCACAAGTTGATTCATCTCTCTTTTTAGAAAAATAACATCTATTGAGCAAAAGTTAAGCAGGGCGTAGAAAGTTTTCAACATTGTTGTAACTGCAAACAGCTGCTAAACAAGACAGTCATTAAACAAGGATTGCCTGTGTTGAGGACAAGACAGAGTAGTTATTGCTTTGAAATCAACCATTGTTTTGCCCAGATGTCAAATTCTAATGTAATATCTAATAAGGATATTATGGGGGGCTGAGTACCTGCCAACTCAAATCAAAAAGAAATTGCCCTGACAATTATATGTACACCACCAGACACCACGTGATCAGCTGCATTTTTATTGAGAGTTTTTAAACATGGATAGCCAGATGTTATTCTGATTTTTAAACCTTCTATCAGGAATTGAACTCACCATCATGCTTTAGATGACAACATATAATCCATTCGTTTTACAAGCTCTTCTGACCCTGATGCTCAGTGGTAACTAAAAATGGTGTATCTACCCTTGAGCTCTCAAGAGAGGTATCTATACAGAAGTATATCTGTTTGGACTGTACGTGCCATTCAGAAATGTACCTACAACAGGTTACAGTTAGTCCTTGACTTACAACCATTCATTTAGTGATTGATCAAAATTAAAATGGCACTGATAAAAGTGACTTATGACTAGGCCTCACACTTATGACCGCCACAGCATCCTCATGGTCATATGATCAAAATTTGGCAACCAGCAGTCTTTTACAATGGTTGCAATGTCCCGAGATTATGTAACTGCCAGTTTTGACTTACCCAGCCAGTGTCTCACAAAGTCAATGGGAGAAGCCAGATTTGCTTAACGGCTACATGATTCGCTAGCAACTACAGTGATTTGCTTAACAAGTGTGGCAAAAAAAGATTGTAACCAAAACAACATGTTCCCAAAATTCCAAGAACTGGGAACTTCAGTAAACCAGAACTGAAGAAGGTTTTTGGATGAGAAGTGAACGTCTTCAAGGAAAAACAAAGCCCAGTTGCCTTCTGAAAAAGCACCTTTGGGTTCAGCAAACCATACAAAACCAGACACACTGAAGAGAGGAAAATGCAGTGATGCACAAAAAAGTTTATTGCACATAAGAAAGAGACCTTTCTGTATCTCCCACAAACTATGACAGCATTCCCATTGGATGGAAGTGGATAATCTGTGATTTAAAATCAGGGTTAAAGCCAGGCCAAAGCCATCTGTTCTGAGGCTCCTCTTCCACCACCAGGTATCACCCTGGAAATCAATTCAGTCAACATCTTGAAACAGGTATCTAGATAGCAGCACCAGTCTCTTTGAAGGATCCCAAGTGAACAGCATGGAAATGTTCTAAACCTAAATCATTATATTACAAATGTGTTTACTATTGGATCTCTTGAGACCAGAGGAGTACTTTTAAACAGCATTTCCCTCACTCATCTTGAAGCAAAAAAAAAAATAATTGTCTATGATTGACCTTTAAATAAAAACTAGAGAAATTTGGATTGCTGCTCTTGCTGCTCCTGTCATAATTTCACTTGTGTGGACAGAATTCAGATCTGATACATGCATTCTCTCTGGCAACTCCCCAAAGAATACATGGGCTTTCTCGAGACGAAGGAAGACGGGAAAGAGAAATTGGAGATGCCTCATGTCTTCCAGCTAGCAGTGGACAAGGCTGCACCTGTTCTGAGAACACTCTTTAGAATAAAGTACATGCACCCATGCATTGAACATACATCAGCTACCCATCCATACAGACAAAGGTCAATGTGCAGGGAGTCACCACAGGGGTAGAATAAGAACAGATTCACATGCAGTGAAAACGCTCCAATTCATGCACCCAATAATATGCCATCAAGTTACTGTCAGTTCTTAGTGACCACATATATTTTCTCCATGACATTTATTTAGTTAGTGTATGGCAAATGCATGGACTTATAGTGGTTCAAATGTTAATGTCCAGTCCACCCAGCCATTCAAGGACAGGGTGGTCTATGTTGAAAAAATCAGTCATTGGGCCGATGTAAGCTCTTGAAGGACATTCGGACACAATGTGAAGGATATTTTGTCAAGGAGCACCACAGCCACACTGAGGGGTAGAGACAAGACCCCACTTAAACAATGAGTCCTGGCAGACACCATGTTCTCCATGACAATCTCTTTATGACCTGGTCTTCCAGCAATGCATCCACTGCCTCCATAACAGAATTCCTTAGCTATGTGCAAATTCCCAGACTTCAAATTTGAAGAGCAAATGTTTGTGTTTTAGTGTAAAAATTACTCCACCAAGAGGATATTCTTCCAGTAAATCAGAACTTACCTATTGAATTTTTTCTCTCTCTACAAACAACCTGAATCTGCTATTTTGTACAGGACCACACAGGATGGAAAGCATGAACCTCTGCCACCTTTGTAAAACTGGTAGGAAAAAAAAAATTAAAGCAAGGAAGTCTAGTGTGCGATATGGCTTTCAAGCTTGGCATTAAGTGTATACTATGCAATTCAAAGTGCTATAGAAGTGATTTAATATATTTTTCAGAAATGCCCCCAGCAGGCTAGCACATGATATTAAAAACCCATTTCGCCCTAAATGCAAAAGAGATTCACTGCTTTGCACAGTGCTCATTTCAAATGTAAAGTGCTTCCACTCATTCCTTGGGGAAAGAAAAATAAACAGCTCAAAGGAAACAAAAAAAAAAAAAAAACCACAGCGTGTCTAATAAAAAGTGCTGATATTTTAAAAGCAAGAAAGTTCCTCTCTGCAAAGAAGAGAATCTGAGGTGCAGTATGGCTTTGTATAATGAGGTCTAAGGTTGTACTCCAAATAGTATTTTCATAGCATGCAAATGTTAACATTACAGCACGTTTTCAACAGGATATCTGGAAGAAAATCTGGCGTTAAAGGAAGCACATCTCAGGAGCTGAAATCCAATAGCTTCTAAGGATCCAAGTGGCACAAGTAATTACACCACAGGGCACTGTTCTCTTAATGCTTTGGAAAAATAAGGTTCGCATCCTCTCGCCTTCAAAACCTGGCATGCTCAATACCACAGGGACAAGGCTGATTTAGAGCCCCAAACACCAATTAAAACAATCCTAGGAAGCTCTTATCCAATGACAGGATGGGCTGCTCCCTTAACTCCCAATTCCTTGAGATGCTTGCAGGCACGTTCGGCACAGAAGTTAATTTCAAGCCCAGAGCGTAGACGCAGCCAAGCCTCAACCTGTTTCCTCAGGTGTTCAACAGAGTTGGAGTCTGCAAACGCAAAGACAGGAGTCAGGGAGCCTACTGGAGCTGAAACCGACTCTCAGAGAAGAGGCCCCTTTGCCTCCTGGAACCCCAATCCCAGCCCGAGGAATCAAAGTTAGACCATACCTTTTTCAACCCCTGCCTCCTTTGGCAAGGGCTGCTGCTGTTGCTGGTGGCCCCGTAAGAGGAAACTGTGTGCCAAGATGACTTCCTTGGCATGCTCCTCCTGGGCCCGCAAGGTGAGGGCATCCAAAAGCTCTGAGTTATTGGAGGTGCTGCGGTAGTACAGCATATGCACCAGTTCGAGAGAATGGATGTTCCTCCGCTGGCCAAAGACCTATGAAAAGAATACAGATAGTCCTTGATTTACAACAGTTCATTTAGTGACAGTTCAAAGTTACAACAGCACTGGAAAAAGTGAGCTATGGCTGTTTTTCACATATGACCATTACAGCATCTCCATGGTCACATAATCAAAATTCAGATGATGATGATGATGATGATGATGATTAGTTCAGTTTATATGCTGCCTTTCTCCGGCGACTCAGGGCAGCTTACAATGCATTTAGAAAACCATTATAAAAAACATTTAAAAATTAAAACATTAAAACTCATTCACACTATTCATGGCCGGATCTCACAAGATCGCAACAGCGAGATCAACGGCCCCAGGCCTGCCAGAAAAGCCAGGTCTTCACCGCTTTTCAGAAGGCCAATAGGGTGGGGATGGTCCAGACCTCAGGAGGTAACTGGTTCCAGAGAGCTGGGGCAGCCACAGAGAAGGTCCTCCCCCGTGGGCCCGCCAGTTGGCATTGTTTAGCTGACAGGACCTGGGGGAGACCAACTCTGCGGTCGCTGGGAGCTATGTAGTAGAATAAGTGCCAGATGCTTGGCAACCGACTCATATTTATGACAGTTGCAGGGTCTGGGGGTCATATGTTGAGTTTTTGTGACCTTCTGACAAGCAAAGTCAACGGGAAGCTGGATTCACACTTAACAATTGTGTTACAAATTTAATAACTGCAGTGATTCAAATATAGCAGGAAAGGTCGTAAAATGGGGCAAATTCACATAACCAATGTTTCACTTAGCAACAAAAATCTGGGACTCAATTGTGGCTGTAAACCAAGGACTATCTTAGTAAAGCCTTAATAAAACCACACCTGGAATACTGTATCCAGTTTTGGTCACCACATTACAAAAAAGATGTTGAGACTTTGGAAAAAGTGCAAAGAAGAGCAGCAGGTAAGCTGATTAAAGGCCTGGAGACTAAAATATATGAAGAACAATTGCAGGATTTGAGCTTGGCCAGTCTAGAGAAAAGAAGGACCTTTAGGGGGGACATGATAGCACCATTCCAGTATTTTGAGGGGCTGCCACAAAGTGGAAGGGGTCAATTTATTTTCCAAATCACCAGAGGGCACGACAAGAAACAATGGATGGAAACTAATCAAGGAGAGAAGCAACCTGGAATTAAGGAGAAACTTCATAACAGTGAGGACAATTAACCAGAGGAAGAGCTTGCCTTCAGAAGTTGTAGGTGCTTCAACACTGGAGGTTTTTAAGAAGAGACTGGACAATGGTATATACAGGGTCTCCTGCCTGAGCAGGGGGCTGGACTAGAAGACCACCAAAGTCCCTTCCAGCTCCATTCTTACTCTGATTCTGTATTTGAATCCTTAGGAGGCCAAATGTGGGGGAGGGGAGGGTCATACGCATGAGAGACATAGCAAAATGCAAACTGAGATCCTGGCCTCTTGGAGGAAGCATACCAGAGTGCACAGTAACATAATGGGAACAAAACTGCAGAGTTATGATATGCTAGTAAACTGTTTATGGATATTTCCAATATGGAAGTGTCATACAGCTATGTCTTGATGGAAAAGAGGCAGTTCTTTTGAGCGGCCTCTCTTTACTAAAGTTAAGGGACAAGAATGGAGAAAATTACTGGCATTGTTTCCTGCCAATGAAGCAGGAACCACAGACATTATTACAAATTCTAACAAATTTAAGACACAGAGAAACCTCAGCCTGCTGCTTCTTTCAAGAAAGTTCTGTAAAAAAAAAAAAAAAAAAAATCAGGAAAATCTCTAATCAAGCCCTAACCAAGGCAGGACACTGTCTCCTTTGCATTTATCAGCCTTCACCATGCAACCCTTCTGCAACCCCAGAAGTTAAGTGCAGTTTAAACCCTCAAAAGATTACCTACCCCTGCATCAAAAGTACTTTGCCGCTATCAGTTTTCATCCCAAGCAAACCTTAACCCCCAAGGTCTGGACTCCCTTCCCAGATATTTATTCAAAGAAAGCCAAAATGTCTGCGGGAAGACATAAATCTTCCTCCTACAGGAAGTTAAAGACCTCCTCTCTCAGAGCTGTCTCTTTGGCAGCAGCTCTCCACATACTAAAAAAAGAGCTTTTTTTCCCAGCCATGCCACATGAGATTCCTCTAAGCAGAAGACATGTGTTCTGCCATAAAGCTCTTGACAGCTGCATGGGATAGAGGCCAAGCCTGCTTTCTGCCCTAGAAGAACCTCAATTAAATTAAGCTTGCTCCTACAAGGATAATCACGCCTCTCCATCTCCCTAGTCCAGAGCCCCCAAGAGCCCCTTCAAGAATTGCCCATGAATTATAATCGTTCATGTTACCAAAAGGGGAAAGTTATTAAAACATTATATTGCTGCGTTTAATTAATTTGAAGATCTGAGCAGGGTATTTTTTTTTTTTTTGGCTTGCAGCTCTGAGTTTCTGGAAACACTGGAGACTGACTTACCTTCCAGGCCCGGAAGGCCATCAAGGCAGCGAAGAAGAAGAGCAGAGTGGTGGTTCCTATCTTGAGGTCAGACAGCACCACCATGCCCACGTTCACAAAGAGAGCCAAGCCACTCACGACCAGCATGGTGTTGAGCAAAGCTCTGTGGAAGATGGAGGTGCGGACTTTGACCAAGGGCAGCAGCTGCTCCAGACCTTCCAGAGGGATGTCCTTAAAGCATTTCAGCACCAGATTGGAATTCTTGGTTCGGGCAGCCACTATTACTCGTTTAAAGTAATGCCTGGATTGGAAGAAAAAGAGGAGGAACTGAAGAAAAGCGATGTTAAGGAAGTGGATATAGATTCTTCAGATATGGGCCAACGATTCATGGTCTGCCACACTCCTAGATACTATTGGCAGATCCCCCCAAAAAGGCCGAGATCTTATGAGAAAAATGGAATACTCAAAATGTTGGTGTTTTTCCATGTGAACCTATGAATGAACGTTGCAATCTACAGATGGTCCTCAACTCAAAGCCCGTAATTGAGCCCAAAATTTATGTTGCTAAGCAAGTGAGTTTTGCCCCATTTTACGGCTTTTCTTGCCACATCACTGCAGTTGTCAAGTTAATAACATGGTTGTTGAACGAATCTGGCTTCCCCACTGACTTTGCTAGTGAGAAGGTGGCAAAAGGGGATCATATGCCCTCGGGACACTGCAACAGCCAAGCCTCTGAATTTTGATTATGTGACCATGGGGATGCTGCAACAGTCGTTCAGTGTGAAAAACGGTCATAAGTCACTTTTTTCAGTGACGTTGAAACTTTGAATGGTCACTGTTGTAAGTCTAGGACTACCTGTAATGTAATTTCAGTGTCTTTGCAGAAGATACGGGGGGTGAATGGGATAAAAAAATGTCAAAATTTGGAGGGTTGTGTTTGGTTTGGTTTTGTGGAGGAAAGGAATGCAACTAAGACACCTAAAAATGATGCCAACCCCTGCCCTGATCAGCAACTTCACAGTTCCCACCTCTCTACTTCCACGACCAAAGCTCTAAATTCTGCAACACGATATTGTAAAAAGAATAGGTTGCTGGCCTTTTACTCTGATTTTTTTAGTGATCAATGCATTTACACATTAGGGTAGTCATTTGCTTCTACCATCTAGTTCAGAACACTCTAGAGGTAAGTTGATTTTTGTGTTCTAGACAGTCATACTCTTCCAATCATTTCATCTCAGTACCTTCAGGCCAACACAAATAGCTACAGTGCAATGACTGCCTACACAGGACGGAAGGTGGGTCACACGAATGCACAGATCAAGGTCATCACTCAAAGAACCGCAGCTACACAATCACAATAGCAACCTTTACAGTACTTTCAGAGGGTAGGTACTGCCTGCCATGACATCTCTAACCATCCAAATGCATCATTCAAAATAAGGCTTAGAATAGAATAAAATAGAGTAACAGAGTTGGAAGGGACCTTGGAGGTCTTCTAGTCCAACTCCCTGCCCAGGCAGGAAACCCTACACCACTTCAGACAAATGGTTATCCAACATCTTCTTAAAAATTTCCAGTCTTGGAGCATTCACAACTTCTACAGGCAAGTTGTTCCATTTATTAATTGTAACTGTCAGGAAATTTCTCCTTAGTTCTAAATTGCTTCTCTCCTTGATTAGTTTCCACCCATTGCTTCTTGTTCTACCCTCAGGTGCTTTGAAGAATAGTTTGACTCCCTCTTTTTTGTGGCAACCCGAGATATTGGAACACTGCTATCATGTCTCCTAGTCCTTCTTTTCATTAAACTAGACATACACAGTTCCTGCAACCTTTCTTCATGTTTTAGCCTCCAGTCCCCTAATCGTCTTTGTTGCTCTTCTCTGCACTCTTTCTAGAGTCTCCACATCTTTTTTACATTGTGGCGACCAAAACTGAATGCAATATTCAAAGTGTGGCCTTACCAAGGCATTATAAAGTGGTATTAATACTTCACGTGATCTTGATTCTATCCCTCTGTTTATGCAGCCCAGAACTGTGTTGGCTTTTTTGGCAGCTTCTGCACACTGCTGGCTCATATCTAAATGGTTGCCCACTGGGATTCCAAGATCCCTCTCACAGTTACTACTATTGAGCAAGGTACCACATATACGGTACCTGTGCATTTTGTTTTTCTTCCCTAAATGTAGAACCTTGCTTTTTTCACTGTTGAATTTCATTTTGTTAGATAGCGCCAAATGTTCAAGTCTGTCAAGATCCTTCTGTATCTTGAGCCTATCTTCTGGAGTGTTGGCTATTCCTGCCAGCTTGGTGTCATCTGCAAATTTGATGAGTTCCCCATCTATCCCCTCATCCAAGTCATTGATGAAGATGTTGGTGGCCTGAAACAGAGCCCTGGGGTACCCCACTGCATACTTCCCTCCATGTAGATGCAGTTCCATCGAGGACTACACGTTGAGTGCAGTTGGTCAGCCAGTTATGAATCTGTCTGGTGATGATGCTGTCTCATCCATTTTTTTCTACTTTATCTAGTAGTAGCTTATGGTCTACTTTATCAAATGCTTTACTGAAGTCCAAGTAAATTATAGGTAATTTACTTGGACTTTATAGGTAGGCTTTATAGGTAGGTCGTCTAAGTTATAACGGTAATGGAGCCGGCCCATTGTGATCAGAGTCAGGAGGGCTGTTAAGTAAATCTTCTCACTTAATGATACTCCCCCCCCCCCCATTCCTGCTCTGCCCATTGCATACTTTAAACAAATATGTAGTCATTAAATGTAGTATGGAGTGCCTCAGGGGTGGGGGAGACCCTGCTGGGCCTAGTGTAGGCACAAGTCCACCTGCCTTGGGTCTCCCCACACCCCAAGATATCCCATGCTCCACTTCCTGCCCCTTGGGGTCCCTAAAGTACTTGGGCTTCCTACTCATCCCCTTGAAAAATAATGCTGGGAAAACTTTTGGTTTTCTTTTTCTTGCTAATGCTTGCCTTTGCTCTGCCAGCATTAGCTGTGACAGCATTATTTTTTACTCAGAAAAAAATTGCTTTTTTGTGGGTTGTGCCACAATACCCAGCAATGGAGTGGCCTGTTCTCCTTATCTACTCAGACCTCCTGAGCTCTGGGGATCTATAAATGGTAAGTAAGCAACCAGTGACAGAGGGTGGGGAGGAGTGTGTGGTACCCGGTGGGGTGGCAAAGCAGGACCAGTGTAAGTGTGTGTGGGGACCCAGCAGGGCAGGATGGGTGAGCAAATGGGGGAGGGGATGCTAAAGTATCATAAGGGCAAATGGCCACATGGATGCTGCAGCTGAGGTAATTTCGAGAGTGAATCATAGTATCTTAGGGAGGGCTGTTGTCACAACTTTGAACGGTTACTAAGTGACCAGTCATAAATCGAGGACTACCTGTATAAAAGCTGCCAATCCAATCCAAAGAGCTTCACACATGTCAAAGCATGGGATACCTAGCAGAGCTGCAATACATGAGGGACCAGCTAGCATGGTAGCATGTTGACAGTGGAAGGTTATACAGTAGACATGATAATTAAATCACTTGCTACACGTTTGGTACAATGAAACGGATGAGGTCTTTGGGGCAGAGCAGTGCCAAAAAAATGTGGAATCTTGCAGGTCAGGGCCTTGTCAAGCTAAAATACCAACATAGGTTGAATGCCCAGAAAATGCAAAAAGAACTCTTCTAGGTTTTATGCTGGTTCAAATAAAATGGCATAGATACAGGTAGTTCTTGACTTACAACAGTTCGTTTAGTGACCGTTCAAGTTTACAACGGAATTGAAAAAAGTGAGTTATGATAGTTTTCCCCACTTATTACCATTGTAACATCCCCATAATCAGATGATTGACAACTGACTCATATTTATGATGATTGCAGTATCCAGGGGATGGGGGGTATCACGTGATCCCTTTTTGCGACTTTCTGACAAGCAAAGTCAGTGGAGAAGCCACATTCACTTAACAACCTGGGTTACTAATTTAACAACTGCAGTGATTCACTTAACAAATGTGGCAAGAAATAAAATGGGGCAAAACTCACTTAACTAATTTCTCACTTAGCAACATAAATTCTGGGCTCAATTGTGGCCGTAAATCGAGGACTGCTTGTAGTCCTCAACCTACAACCACAGTTGGAACCAGAATTTCTGTTGCTAAACAAGGCAGTTATTAAATGAGTCACATCCAATTTTAGGACCTTTTATTGCCACAGCTTTTAAGCAAATCACTGCAGTTGTCAAATGAATTATGTGGTTTTTAAGCCAATCCGGCTGCCCCCATTGACTTTGCTTATTGGAAGCCGGCTGGGAAGGTCACACAGGGCGATTACATGACCCCCATACACTGCAACTCTCATAAATACAGGCTGGTTGCCAAGCACCTGAATTTTGATCACATAGCCCTGGGGGTGATGCAATGGTTTGTAAGGCCTGGTGGTAAGTCACTTTTCCTGGTGCTGTTGTTAACGGTCGATAAATGTAACTAAGGACGACCTGTATTGTCGGTGGCAAAGTACCACCTAGTCAAGACCCTAAAATGTTTTGAGTTTCCATAACCGCCAGAAGCTCCATTACACTGAAGGATCTCCAACTGTGACCATTTGGTATTGATAACCAGATCATTACACTGAACTCCCCAAATTCGTAAAACTGCATCCATTGTGAGTAGTGCTACAGAAGGTCTGAGAGAAAAATCTTAGACTAACTCTAGCATTGGAGGTAAGTTTGAACTGAAGCTAGAATGGGTAATTTGTGTGATGATAAAAAAGAGCTGGAAAGCACTGTAGCACTACAGAAGAGCATATTCCATCAGTACGGTTGCAGCCATGACAGCTGTTGGATATTGTGTAGAATTTGATATGGCCCCACGTGAAATTCATATATTGACTTCTATATTGTAACCACCTTATCTTGCAGAAGGAATGTGCTGGATCAAGGAATATGCCCCAAACTGAAGAGTATTAGCTCTAAAACTGGGAGGAATTCAGAGGCGATCATTCCAAATTTACAAAAAGAAAGAATGCAGAAACTCTTTTAACATAAAAACGATATCCCAGTTTATCTGGTTTATAGATAGTGCCACAATTGAACAACTACAGGTAGTCCTTGATATGTGACCACAATTGAGCCCAAAATTTCTGTTGCTGAATGAGACAGTTGTTAAGTGGGTTTTTCCCCGTTTTATGACCTGTCTTGCCACAGTTGTTAAGTGAATCTGGCTTCCCCATTGACTTTACTTGTCAGAAGATGGCAAAAGGGGATCACATGACCCTGATACACTGCAATGGTCATAAATATAAATCAGCTACCAAGTATCTGAATTTTGATCATGTGACCAGGTGATGCTGCAATGGTTGAAATATGACCGTCATAAGTTACTTTTTCGGTGCCCTTGTAACTTCAAACGGTCATCAAATGAACTGTTGCAAGTCGAGGACTATCTGTACTGCATAAAAATATGCAATCTTTAGAGATTACAAGGGCCACGCGTTTCATAAGGTTTGTGGAACCATCAAAAGATAAAGATTTTGAATTGTAATAGCCAATCTCCAACAGGAAAACAGAGAAATCTCCAATGATCTGGTCAGATATTTATATTGAAGTTGGAATTCCAGAGAACCACTCAGGCAAATCAGTCTCTGTGAGAAAGCAGGGGAAGGGAAAAATAACTACATCATCACTATATGGGATAGATAAGGCCAGAAAAACTCACTGTACTACGAGAGAAAAAATGAGGTCTATCATCTTTTTTAAGGTTGTAAAACACTTGGATTAGGAACTAGTGGGTCTTTTATAGGCATGGAAGTAACTCAATTACCCTTTTGACAAAAAGTTTCAGATTTTGGTCTTGAGGGGTGATGATACAAGAACTCTGGAAAAAAAAGGGCACATTATTATGAGTCACAAAATGTCAGGTATTGCCAACACAGACGATCTGGAGGATGCAAAAATCAGGAACAAACTATTGAAAAAAATGTTTGTACAAAAGATGAACTGATTGTTGCCAAATCACCCCATCCCATTGAGAGGAAAAACACAATATACGGTACATAAAATTAATAACAAGTAATAATTAAAAATAACATTTTATAATTTTTTCCCCAAATAATCTTTGCCCCTGAATGATGTTTCCTCAAAGCTGACTGAGACAATGTGGAAAAGTGTGAACATTTCTGTGAGACTTCTATTCTTGTTAAGATGTAAATTAAAAGTATCCCAATTTGGTTGCTGAAAATTAACTTGCATGTAACCTTCCATGAAGGTTGAACAACTAAAACCTATCTGGCAAGGCTTATTTTTCATTTTTTGATTTCATTTCATAATCCCTTCTGCTTCAGAATAGTCTTGCACTATCACATGCCAAAAATGTCATATGTTGCCTGGCATCCTTAATCAATCTGGACAATCAGTCAAGCATGACCAAATGTGCAAAAAATAAAATAAAATACACAGTATGGTAATTTGCTATGTCAAGCTGTGTTAATTTTGCTGTGTTAATTCATGAAGAACAATCAATACGGTATTTTGTTATGCCTAGTAATAATATCTCAGCATTAATGCAAATGAGATTAATGCAAATAATAGCTGGCAAAAAGTAGGAAGATTCCAGTGGAATATAACTTCCTATCTATGCCTTCACATTCCTTGCCATCCAACTATAATAGGGTAGAATGAAACTTCTGGAACGAACTTTATATCCCTTCCATTTTTTAAAATTATTTGTGCCTTTAAGGCCATTTTTTGACTCCTGGCAACTGCCTGGAAAAGTCCTTGCAATTTTCTTTGGCAAGGTTTTTCAAAAGTGGTTTGCCTTTGATTTCTTGTTCCTAGATTGAGTGATCATCTTAATGTCACTCTAAACCCACAGTCCCCAAGTCAAAATTAGAACTCACAGATACGGCTTATGTTACAAGTTAAGAATTGGGTTATAAACAATAAATTAAGCATATAAGCCTATCACCATCCAACAGACTTATTGGAAATTTAAGTGTCATATACATTTTTATGTTTCTCAACCTCAGCAATTTTAAGATGTGGACTTCAATTCCCAGAATATCCTAGCCAGCATGCCAAAATCTACACATCTTAGTTGCTGAACTTGAAAAACACTGATTAAAGGAACTGGGAAACAGTAATCAAACCTTGTCAGAGCAGGTATGATGGAAGAGAGCACAATCTGGCCAACCAAAATGCAGCTCAGATTAAGAATGTCCTAAAAAAGCTTCTGCAGGCCAACCTTAGCATTTGATGAAATGAATCACGGATGACAACATTTAACTTCTAAGAAAGAACATTCATTTTTTCCCCCTAAGAATGTATTTTTCAGTTTTCTATACACAGAAATTTCAAGGAAAAAAAATCATTAAGCTTATTTTATGAACATTTCACTTAGAAGTCATAAAGTATTTCCCTCCAAGTTGTAAAGCATCCCATCTATAGTATCTCATTTACAATAGCACATAAAACTGGGTGGAAGAACCACAGCTCAGTAACAGAGTTTTACAAGCAAAGAGCTTCAGGTTTATGACACAGGAAAAGAACCACATAAATTCACCAAACCATGCAACTGACTTCTTAAATATGTGACTGGGCCATCTTGAATAGGTGAGGAAAATGGCTGTTAGATTAGGTCAAGGATCAGAGATGATATGCTTCTGAATTCAATGGCAGAGGAATATCTTGAGGGCAAAGCTGTTCTCAATATTTGGTGGTGGGGCCCTACTCAGACTACCAGAATGCCAGTCTATGGTCTGTTCCATCACTGCTCTTCTTAAGACAAAGTAGGTAACATCAACCGATGGACAGAAATCTGACCTGTTAGAAGGCCGAGTCTTGTGAATACTCCCCCAAAAGGATCTCCAGGTGGCAACAGATACTAAGGAGACCATTTTTTTCTTGCCTGTCTGCAGGAATCCGAGCAGTGCCGAAGAAGCCTGCCCTCTGGGCTCGAGTTGCAGCCATCACTCGCAGAGGTCCTATCCGTTGGCCCAGAGCCCAGAAGGTGATGTATTCGTACTGATCCAAATTCACTGTCACCTGAAGAACGGAAGCCAAAACTGACATGAAAATACAAGTTATTAGGGATTCCCACATTCTGAACATCACAAAGTGATGGGAAACAAACCATCTATCACTGTACTACTGATGAAGCCAGCCGTAAATACCTGTCACCTGCTCAAATCTGCTAATATGTAGGCTTCCCCAGATATGCTTAGAAAGAGGGCTACTGCCGTATGAATCAAAGTGCATGTCAAAATCTATTATCTTCCCAACACAGCTGAGCAGTGCTTGGTAAAATGAGAGAGCCCAGTTTGGAAGGCAGCAGATTCTTCCACCTGCAGTCTGCTACCTCTTGTAGCACCTTTCACCTCTGAGAAATGGTAAATGCATTTGTTTTTTCACCCTGCCTTTATTATTTCTATAAATGACTCAAGAGGGCAAACATACAATACATAATGGTCTTTTCCTCTCCTATTTTCCCAACAACAATCCTCTGAAGTGAGTTGGGATAGAAGTGACTGAATGACCCAAAGGAAACCCAGCTGGCTTTCATGCCTAAGGTGGCACTAGAACTCACAGCTTCCTGGTTTCTAGGCCAGTACCTTAACCACTACCCTGAACTGGATCTCTAAGGAAAATACAATGGGTTTCATATTCATCATCTCTTTGAATCAGCCATCTGACAACTTGTAGCTGATCTGTAAACTCCAGAAGGGAATGTTAGAACAGGCCAATCTGGTTTAAAAGGGGTGGATTTTCTCACTCGCCGAAATAATACAGATAGTCCTCAACTTACAACAGTTCCTTCATGACCACTTGAAGTTACAACAGCACTGAAAAAAGTGACTTACGACCATTTTCCAGGCTTATGACCTTTATGAAGGGGTCACGTGACCACCTTTTGCAACCTTCTGACAAATAACGTCAGTGGGGAGCCTGATTCACTTAACAGCTACAGTGGTTCACTTAACAACTGTGGCAAGAAAGGTCATAAAATGACGCAAAACTCACTTAACAAATTTCTCACTTAGCAACATAAATTTGGGGCTCTATTGTGGCTGTAAGTTGGGGACTACCTATGTGCAATTATGGCCTTGGTGAAGTGCATCAGGGATCTGAGAGGAAGAGTCAGCGACAGCCCCAATCTGAAGTAACCAATAGATTCAGGTTGATCCCAGGTTCAGTGGGTCACCTGACTGCCTCCAAAGTAACAGGAAGCAAAGTGTAATAAATTTTATATACCTTGCAGTAGCTGTTGAATACTGCTGGCTTAAGACAGAAAACATCACTTTAACACTGGAATATCAAAGTTTCTTTGTTGCTTGTTCAGGAACGGGTTGTGTAGTTACTTTTAACTACATGGGCACATGCCCCCCGTCTACCAAGAGAAAACTCAAGATGTCAAGACATATGTGTTACATGCTTGGATGCTAACAGGGCAGCAGGACCCTACATCTGTAAAGGGAATTCCATGCCTAATGTAAATATTTTTATGTGTGATTTCTCTGACTGCGATCTGAAAGGGGGAAGTTTTTGCTTACAGTCTCATTACCTCAAGCCAGGCCTATCAGTTTCCAGCACTTCTGTCTGCTGAGACTCTTACAGCTAAAATGCAAATCCTATCCCTTTCCTCTTCATTTTAAAATTTGATGAATAGGAATTTTTTTAGGCTGGGGTTATGCACAAAGGCAAATTATATAAGCAAGATAAGATGGATAGGATAGGATAGGATAGGATAGGATGGATAGGATAGGATAGGATAAAAGATAACTTTTATAGTATTTTTTTCCTGTGAGCACACTTGCCCACATTAAAAATAAAATTCTGTTGCCTGCTCTCAAAAGGATGTATGTGTGTGTGTACACACCCGCACACACACATAGATATTAATCACTGTCCATTTTGAAAACAGAGCTGAAAGAGGAAGTTTGAGAGTTTACAAGGTTGATGCTATATGGAACAAAACTGTCACTGAATCTAGATATTCTGCTTTGGATACCACGAAAGCTCCTCCCAGAAGGTAACAAGGAAAACAGGTCATGAAGAGGATGTGTAGCGTCCCAGACAAGGAAGTGAACAGCCAATAATCTTCTCTGCCATCCTCATCACTCCCTGAACTGCCTTCCTGACTGAAGCAGTAATGCTTCCAGTAGAACAATTTGTTTGGCTCTTTAATTTTTCTTAATTTATATATATATTTTTTAGCAAATACAAAACAAACAAACAAATAAATAAATTAGAATCTACCAAAGGATAGGCAAACTGTGAATGGAATGTGATCTCCAAAGTTCTGTTTTGTGGCCTTCAAAAGTCATACTATCAAATTTTGGAAGCAAACTATTAAGATACATGATTCATGTTTTTTTTTTCAGCAAAAACTTTTTTTTTTTAAGTGTAAGTCTTCCTTTAGATTTAATACCATTCAGCATCTACCTGCCTGGTGATGGTACTCCCTCAGCAGCTTCAAAAAATAAAGGAAATTATGATCTCTAGCAGCCAAGATATCCTGTCACTAGCCAGAAAGAACTTTGTACTCTATGTATTAACTGCATTTCATTTCTTAATTGATAGTAACAATGTGATAGTATATCTTGATAGTAGCAATGTTTCACCATATCCTGTAAGACAACCAAAGCTGTGAAGTTAATAGGCAGCATATAATTTTCTAATAAAGGAGCTACATGTTAATTATGAATAAGGTACAACATAGGCAACTTTAGATGGTGATACAAGCTATAAGACAAATCTATTGAGAAAAAGGCTAAATATTAACATGTCTTTTCTCCAGCATCAGACAATATATGCCTCTTAATATGACCAATTGCAGTTATGACTGTTGAGGAACACAAACAAGCTGTCATTCATATCCTGGTGAAGACTTTTTGATTGGCACTAGACCAGTTATACGGGAAAGAAACTGTTTCTTAGTTGCCTTCAAAAGATATCTTGCTGGACAAAGTTAAAGTAAGGCAAAGCAAAAGGCTGAATAATACTAAGAAGTTGTGAAATTTTTATCTGTGGACTTGGAGAGATCCAAAGAAATTCTAGGATTCTGTTTCCACTCATGTAATTTGCCTTTGTGCGCAACCCCAGCCTAAGAAAATCCCACTTCACCAAACTTTAAAAGAGGCGGAAAAGGGATAGGATTTACATTTTACTATAAGAGTCTCAAAAGACAGAAGTGCTGGAAAATGATAGGTCTGGCTTGAGATAATGAGACTAAGCAAAAACATCTCCATTTCTGTTTGCAGTCAGAGACATCACACATAAAAATGATGCTGACAAACAGAAGCCCTCAGGGGAAAACATGAGGGTAGGAAGAGAAGTCTAGGATAACCTGCCACAATCAACTCGCCATGACCAATTCACTGCAGGACAATTCAACACTTATCCATCATTTCATTCAGTTACTTTTATTATTAGTGACCATGTTTTCATTGAAATTATTGTAACTTATATTTCTGGATTAACTTTATTATTGGCCATGGTTCCGTTGAAATTAATTTATCTTTTGTATTTGTTGAATTGTCCCATAGCGAGTTGGCTATGATGAGTTGGCCATGGTGAGTTAACAGCAAGTTGACCCATTCCGAGGAAGAGAACCTGAGTAATTGAGATTTCAGGGAAAAATCCATGAGGTATTATCTGCATTTAAAATGTTAGTCTGTTTTACCATTTCAGGACCCCTTCATCCCCTATCACATGTAACACAGATGGGACACCCTGAAGGAAAAAGGTGGAGTGGGGGTGATCTTTATTGCAGGCCACACCTGGACTTCATCATGAGGGTGATTGACAATCAGTGCATAAGCCAGTGCTTCTTCTGACAACTTGTTGAAGTTGGCCTGATCCAATAGTGGTTCCATCATGGCCAAAACTTTCTGTTCTTTTATTAACCGTTCGGCATCTGTCAAAGGGAATTCCTGCAGTGTGTCCCGGTCAGGATCAATAGGTGTATAGTGTGTCTAGAAGGGGAAGGCATAAGTGGGAGGATTAATGCAATTAGTATTAATACAGCATATTTGCTCTATATCTGGTCACTAGGAGCAACATATTATTGAAATCATTACCACAACAACAGTGTGTGAAAAAGCAGAAGAAATGAAGTACAAGTAGTCCTCGACTTACAACAGTTCATTTAGTGACTGCTCAAAGCTACAATGGCATTGAAAAAAGTGACTTATGACCATTTTTCATACTCACATCCCCATAGTCACGTGATCAAAATTCAGATGCTTGGCAACTGATTCATATTTATGACGATGGTTGCAGTGTCCTGGGGTGATGTGATCACCTTTTGCAACCTTCTGACAAGCAAAGTTAATCAGGAAGCCAGATTCACTTAACAACCGGGTTACTAACTTTTAACAACTGAAGTGATTCACTTAACTGTGACAAGAAATCATAAAATGGGACAAAATTCATTTAACAAATGTTTGGGGCAAAAATGGGACAAAATTCACTTAACAAGTGTTTCGCTAAGCAACAGAAATTCTAGGCTCAATTGTGGTCGTAAGTCAAGGACTACCTGTATTCTGTCTTTGCTCTACCAGTTAGTTTCTATGCTGAATGGGCAGAGAATGCAGATTTTTCTTCACCCACCAAGGATAAGGAATGTAACATTTCACTGACACTCATCCAGAAAATGTTGTAGGAGGGCAGTCATCTAAGTCAGTGAAGATAAAATTCTGCAGGAGTTTGGCAACATCTTTTCTGACAACAATAACACACTTTATTAAAGGGCATAAAATTTAATGTTTTAGTCAGGAAAGATGCTATCACTCTTCTTCCAGTTTCTCGTGCAGTAAAAGTGTACTAGAGAAAGTATCTCCGACCTTGGCAACTTTATGACTTGTGGACTTCAACTTCCACAATTCCTCAGCCAACATAATCCACAGTCCAGCATAGTCTACAGTCCAAAAGTCATAAAGTTGCCAAGGCTGGGGAGACCCCTACACTAGAGAACAGAAAATTATACTGGTCACTGTTTATCATTTCATCTGCTTTGGGATCAGCATTTTAGTAACTTTTGCTCAGGCAAGCAAAAAAATAAATGTCAATCTTGATTCCTGCTCAAGATTGGAAATGTAACATGCAGGATGTAGGAGAGCTAATTCTCCCCAGCTCTTCTTTTTTCAAAACAAAATCCCCACAGAGGGTGAAAGCCAACGGGAGAAGTTGCTATCGGAACAGCTGCAGACATTCCTGCATTCTATAACATTTTTGGGATAAGCAACAATCTCACAATATATGCAGTAGCTATTGGTCTTGATTCAGACATGCTGGATCAATTCTAAAATAAACTTACTGCAAATCACAGTTCAGTTTGTGACTGAGAAATGGCTTTACTGGAAGTCTTGGACTTATGACCACAAATGGGATTCCATTACTAAGCAAGGTAATTAAATTTCATTGCTAAGCAAGGTTGTTTAATGCTGTTCCTAATTTTATATCCTTTTTCGTCATGGTTAAGTAAATCCAACCTCTCCCATTGACTTTGCTAATGGGAAGATGATTGGGAAGGCCACAAAGAGTGATCACTTGACAATGGGACAGTGTAAGCATCTTAAATATGTTGGTTGCCAAGCACCCAAATTTGATCTTGTGATCATTGAGATGCTGCAATGGCCATAAATGGTATGACTGGTCGTAAGTCCATTTTTTCAGTGCCATTGTAACTTTGCATGGTCACTAAACAAATGGTTGTAAATCAAAGACTACTAGTCTACTATCTGACCCATGCTCAAGATTGAGACAAATTGCCATGACCTCATATTCATAATGGAAGGACAGATAGTGAGGATGGATCCATTTCTCCATCCTTTCGATTTCCATATTAATCACAGTGGTACCTTGGTACTCATCTGCTTTGAAACTCGTCAAATTTTATATTCAATGTATTTTGATGCAAAAATGTTGTCCCAGTATTGATCATTTTTTTGGCACTCAACGCAAAAGCTAGAACTTGTCATAGGTGGCTACCTTGTGACTCTCTACATTATTCCTTATAGGAAAAATCTGTTTGGTACTCGTTTTTGGTGCTCACTGTGCCTCCCGGTACCAATTAAGCACCAAGGTACCACTGTATAAGGAAATGAAGCTGCTACCTGTTATTAGCAAAGGAAGTCAAGCAACCAAACCAAAGAAACACACAGTGACCTGCATTTCTCTGCCATCCCACTTGATAAGGAGCTATTTTTATTTAGAAACATGGCAAAATGCTATGTTGTTGTTGTTGTTTTTAAAAAAGAAATACATGTATATATTTTGGGGGGGATGCTCAGTAATATTAAAACCCTTACAAATAATTGTTGTCTAACAGTCATCTCCCTTGCAATCTTCTACATACCTGTAGACTGGAACATTTTTTATAAATTGCCTGCAAAAAGAAAGTTTGCAACTACCTGTAGCTTCTCCAAAACAGAATAGTATCGGTGTACAAGGGATGAGTCCACCTGAGACACAAACTGCAAGAATGAGTTGCGTTCTTCATGATTAGAAGAATGGAACTCCTGAGAAAGGAGAAAAGGGACCTGATTAAAGATCTAAATGGTCATAAGAAGCAGTCCGTTTATTGAGGCGTTCCTTGGGTAGTACCAAAATAAATACAACTGTTTACTTAGTTTTGGTGCACAGTCATCTCTGTAGCAGTCAATTAGTAGCCTATATAGCACCTTACTGCAGCACTATTATCTTTACAGTTTTCCATTTATTTCAAGCCACTTCTCTATAATACATCTTAAAATTGGTTTTAGATAAATGTCTTTGAACATGACCTGCAATAATACTCAGAGTAGGAATTCTGCAGTCATAGCTACTGGGAAATTCCTCTTTCCCCAATTCAAGACTAATCTACAATGGTAAATAGCTTAAATTCTTCAATAGGCATGTCTGAATCTTCATTGAGGTATAGGCATATTTTTAGAGTTCGGTCTCCACAGATGAATTTTTGGATAACAGGTCTGCTAGCCAACATTTCTAGTAATCAATGTATCTTGGAATATTTGTGTACAATGCCAGATTGTAAATTTTGATCTATTAAGAGAAGGAACCACTGTTCAATAACAGAATGCAGGCTTTGCATGTAGAAAGTTCCATTTAAAAAAATCCAATAAAAGAGGTACAAAGTAGTAAATATTCTTGAAATTATAACAGTTTAGGAGAGATAGATAATCAGACTTGACATAAAATATGTGGCTTTAGAAAATCGTCTTAACAGATTCAATAGCAACACGCATCTCAAACATCTTTATAACAATACAGGTAGTCCTTGACTTAAAACAGTTCATTTAGTGACTGTTTGAAGTTTCAATGGCACTGAAAAAAAGGTTTTTCACACTTACAACTATTGCAGCATTCTCATGGTCACATACTCAAGATTCAGATTTTTGGCAACTGACTAATATTTATGACAGTTGCAGTATCCCTAGGCCATGTGATCGCAACCTTCTGACAAGCAAAGGCAATGGGGAAACCAAATTCACTTAACAACCATGTTACTAACTTAACAACTGAAGTAATTCACTTAACAAGAGTGACAAGAAAGATCGTAAAATGGGGCAAAATTCACTTAAGAAATATCTCACTTAGCAACAGAAATTTTGGGCTCAATTGTGAGGACTGTATGTTGAGGACTACCTGTAATGAAATTTACATATTCAACTATAGCTTTGTGTTTCCACCAATGAGAGAAAAAATGGTATATTTCAAAAACAGACTTCAGATTTCCAATCCATACTTTTATGTTTCTCCACTTTTTAAACCATGGCTATAGCAGAAGTGGCCACAAAGTAAAGAACTCCTGGGCAAGAAAAAAAAAGTCCTGATTTCTAGAAGTTTCATACATCATTATTAAGGTGGGTAAATTTATATGGCAGGATCATTATCCTTAATTTGTCCCTTATGGGAATATAAGCATTATAATTTAGCACTAATCCAGGTCTAAAGCGCAAAGGGCTTATACCAAGGGTCAGCAACCTTAAACACTCAAAGAGGCACAAAGGCCCTAACCGGAAGCCCCCCGTTCAATTCTGCAGCCAACTGGAAGTCCGGTTCCCCCCACCATAGTTTCTCCTTCTAGCGCGGCATCCTTTTTTCCTCTGCTGACTGGAAGTCCGGTTCCTCCAACCATACAGTCTCCTCCTAGCATGGCGTCCTTTTTAACTCGCCCGACTGGAAGTCAAGTTCCCCCACCATAGTGTTTCCTCCTAGTGTGGCATCCTTTTTCCTCTGCCAACTGGAAGTCTGGTTCCCCCCACCATAGAGTCTCCTCCTAGTGCAGCTTCCTTCTTCCTCTACCTATCCTAACTGAAAGCCCTATCAATTGTGGATCTGACTGGTGACAGGGAGCCGCAGCAGAGGGATGAAAGAGCCACATACGGCTCCAGAGCCACAGGTTACTGACCCCTGGCTTATACATTGTATAACCTCTATCTGCCTAGTAGTAAGTTCAAAAGAATTCGCTTCATATTCTCCAGATCATTATTGTCCAATACACTCCAGATCTTAGAGGTCAACTTTTTATAATCTGTGCTAAGTATCTGGATTGCTTGTCTGGTAAAGGCCATTCTACCTTTCTAGAGTGAGTCTCTCTAATATAAGCCTTCCCATTTAAATGAGAAAAGTGTATTTTCAGATTTAATCATAAAAGATCCTATATATCAAATGATCAAAGGAAACATGAAGGGTTTCAAGGATAACATTAGGGCGTTGCCGTTCCTCAACCATCAAGGAATTTAGATAGCTACCAATTGTAACTAGAATTCCTCTTTCATTCCCTTTTATATCTGCAAAAGCTTGTAATTTGTCACCCTTTCATTTTTTTCATGCCATGTCACTCAGCATATATAGGATAACTGCCTTCGCCTCCTCTCCACATGCTATGCTTTTTCTCCATTTCTTTACATTTGTTTAATAAAATTTAAGCCAGTTTCCTCTACTCTTCAATTTCTACATGAATAGCACTTTTGTTTCAAGAAATGTTTTCGTCTATTCAGAATGTTCTCTTCCAAAGGTTCATCCCATTTGGCCCATCTCATCACTTCAGAAGGTTGCCCCATCGAAGCAAGTTTTTTAAGATCGGCTTAATTCATACTCCACATTTTCATGAAGACAGACCCTACTTAACAGGCAAAAGGGACCTGCCTCCAGAGCTGTGAAATGAAGGAAAATTAGATTCTAAAATCAAGATTGCAGATAATTTGCTAAAAAAAATCCCACCTGGTATACTAAAGCAAGCATGGACTGGGTCAAGAGAAATTACATTTTGCAATCCGAATGCATCATGCACATCAAGTAAACCAGTATACAATATATTACTGTATAACACTTCATACTATTGCTGCTTGTGTTGTCTATGACAGGGGTGGGCAAATGTGGCCCTTTTACAACCTGTGGATTTCAACTCTGGGAGTTGAAGTCCACAGGTTGTAAAAGGGCCACATTTGCCCACCATGGTCAATAAGAAGGGGTGATACATTTTGCTTGTTTCTATGATTTCACTAAGCACTATCCGCACATTGTAAAAACTGTTTATGCTGTTTTGAGGCACCGAAACACTCCGAAAGCCGAGAGGGATGATTATGAATTTTGCTGTTGTGCAATGCATTCAACGGATGTCAGAATTGACACAGAAGCCTATTTTTACCTTTACCAGGGCTTCAACCAGTTGGTTCTTGGAAAACGGGATGTATTTCTCCTGATAATCCACTGCCCAGTTATGTGGTTCTGTTGGCTTCCGCATCTTCCGATATTTCACCATCGTGGAAGCAAGGGAGGCCTTGCCACGCAAAGACAACCCTATAATCTTGGTCCCCAGGGCTAACCGGGTTATGCTCAGCATTCTGGGAGAGTCCAAAGCTTAACAGTTAAAAAATGGCAGCACAGGCATATTCATAGGCTAAATTTCCTCAAGCTGACATTATTTTGCAACCCCACTGCTTGAAGAGCTGTGGCAGGCACCTTTCAAAGCAGCCAATGTAGAAAGCTTTGATAAATCAAGTAGAGCAAATCTATCTTTTTGATAAGCTGCAGGCAAAGAATACTCAGTTAACATGGAGGTACCATGCACAAAAGACAAGGTACTTTCCCCACTACCACCACCCGCAATTCAATGTGAAAGCAACAGAACAGGACAGAACAACAGGGGTTAAAAGTCAAATTCATCAGGCTATCCAAACTGTTGAAATTAAAGCCCCCCCCCTTACAAACCAAGGAGGTTATTTTTTTTTCTCCCTCTTCACAAACACACACACACACGCACACAAAAACCGTTTTAACTACAGATCCAATTCGGACCACAAGAAAAAAAAAAGTCCACTATTGGAGCAACGAGCTCTGACCTTTAAAAAGAAGCCTGACATTGAATCTGGGGGCACATGCGCACAATGTTTCTTTATTTCTTCCGCCCGCAATTCTAATCTTTTTAGCTACTCCCGGTGAACTTCAGATTGCGTCGTGCGTTTGCGCAGTGGCTTACGTCGCTTGTCGCTGAGCTCATAAACTAGAGATAGAAAATATAAAACAGCTACCCGCAAAGGATAAAACTTATTTGCCCATCAACTTTGTTGTGATTCAGCCTCTGCAAAATACCGTCGAGGCTCACAATGGAGACATTCTGTATCATTCGTCTTTTACTAAATGTGAACTACTGAAAACGTTTCGATTTAAGAGAAGCCGAGTTGGTTGCTCTATACCATTTTCCTTTCCTGTCTCTATGGCCGAACCACGGGGAGCTTGCAACAATCAAAAGAATTCCACAGTATCGGAAATTCTTTCCAATCCGTTCGGTTTTAATATGATGCGCATGCGCCCAACACTGCACAGACGAAATAAGACTGCACTTCCTCCTCAGCGCACGCGGGGTTCTCTAGAATCCTCTCAGGCGTCATTCTAATTCCCACCCCCAACAGTCATTTTCAACTGCCCTGTTGAACGCTCCAGCGTTCGAAATGAGACACTGGCAGCTCTCCTGACCAATCAGGCTTCGAGTTCTCTCAAGAGTTTTTCCCCTCCCTCCATGGGCACGTGACAAGATCGAAAAGGCGGGAAAAACTTCATTTCCTTCACTTTCCCCAAGGGGTAAGTGAGGAAAGAGGACGTTTCTGAAATGTTCCAGGATGATCAGGAAAATGTAAAGCGCTGTGTCCTTCATTTCTGAGTTGGCTTTATCGTGAAGTCCCTTATACTGTTTCTTTGAGCCTTTTAGCTTTCTTCCATCTGTCATTTTCAGGATATATTGGACGTCCATATTCATATGTAAATACGGTAGTAAAGTAGGGATTGAAGCCAACTTCTGCCTGAGGAAAGGAGAGTTAAAAATAAGGGACACAGGTTGGGTTCTTTGTTACAATATTTTCCCCAAGGCAAAGAATATATGTAGCCGTGGTTAAAAATTGAGGAACACAAAACAGTATAATTATCCCAAAGGAGCAACTTATTTCAATATATTTAATTGCACTTTAAATGGATCGTTCTCAAGTAATCCGCTACACGCCTTTCCTTTTCCCTCATTTTATTCTAACAGAGAAACTGCCTAGTTTAAAATTGGCCTGTAAGTCTGGCTGAGCAGATATTTCAGTACAGATCCTCTGCTAAAACTAGCCATTATTTTTCAGTACTTCTCAGGTAGGAAAAGAAATCAAAGGAATGTGTTTAGAGCTGCATTTACACATGGAATTTAAAATAATAGATCAATTTCTTATTTGCTATAGAGAAGTAAATCTGTGTATAGGTAAGTTTATTCCTTCCAAGAGAATAACTCAATAAATTTGAATAATAAAACTTTTTTGCACATAGTTTTTTTCAGATAAAACTAAACAGATTTGCAATATTTACTATGAAATTAGCTTCTGAGAACAAAATGAAAAGGCATATTGAGTAGTATTTGATTGTGCTCCATCACTGGGGTGCTAGCACTGGGGTGCTAGCCCTCTTTTCTACTAAGAAATTTAAATATGAACTGGAAAATGATATTTAACTATATACTCAAAGTTTGCATAAACTCATCATATAACTGAGGCTCTGGAGCATATCTTGGAGTGATGGTAACAAAAGTGTAACTGCCTAAATAGAATGATACTGTTAAATTCAGATATTAAAAATATGGCTATCACCAGTGGTGGGATTCAGCCAGTTCGCACCACTTTGGGAGAACCGGTTGTTAACTTTCTGAGAAAGTTTGGCAAACTGGTTGTGGGAAGAAATCATTAGGGTAGAGAACCGGTTGTTAAATTACTTGAATCCTACCACTGGCTATCACTCACTAAAAGCTGCTAGTTCAGTTATTGTGCAACTAAAGGAATATTTCTTAAATAAAAGTCATCTTAAAAGATAATGGAAAATTCTATACATTGCTTCTAAATATTTAATAATCACAGTTTTGTTGACCTTCCATATGCCTGATAGGTAGATTAAGGATTTGTTGGGATGTGCTAAGGCAAGAACAGAACTCTGAAAAAAACTTTTTTAAAAAAATGTTCAGTTGGTAGATAGGATCTTAGCAATATTTGTATTCTTAAAATTCAGATAATGTTTCTCAGCTTCAATTTACAGCAACCTTCCAAATTCAGTTTTGTTCTAATGACAAAAAGACAACAACAGGATGAGAAAAATGGCTTCAGTCTTGCGGGACCTTTCGGACCATGACATGGTGCACTTCTTCATACAACCTCAGATTGCTGCTAGAACACTAGCAGGGGTGAGACAAAATAACAGTACTGACTAAATGGTGGCTTCTTCTATATTTGGGGTCACATATTGTCTCTGATGCAGTTTTAACATCAGAATAGTGTTCTAACATAATAGTTGGGAATCAAAAAGAGGCTATAACAATACACATTATTAGGATAGGTTATACTATATCAGCAATAGCCATAATATTTTTATTTTCAAATATAATCCAGTCATTTGCTTTATTAACAAGTAGATAACCTGTGACCCATTGGGTCATTACATAGATATTTCCTGACTAAAACGAGAAACAGAATGGCCATGGATGAGCAAAAAAGCAGTGGGAATTGGAACAACTTTTGTCTTCCTGTGAAGAAGCTTTCCTTCAATGAGACTTTCCTTGTAGGAAGCAGACCTGCCTGCCTTCTAGTCTGTGACCACATTCATCATTTTCTCATTGACCAAATTCTACTATTTGAATAATAATTACATATGTCTTGACTATACTGTTTTCACTTAGTGTAATCATTTTGTATACAAATGTGACTACCTCACTTCCATACTACAGTACTTGTAAAATAAGGTTTGTTATTTTAGTTTTTTAACTAGGATCCAGCTATTAAGTTCAAAGACACAAACGATTTGAATAAAATTAATGTCTGATGAAATCTCTTTGATATAGGGAACATTTAAAGCACAAGATGCCACCAAATATCTATCAAATCTATGGAGATCTTCAAGACATGCCTTTGGCATATTTGCCAAAAGCATGTAAACTGCATGCAGTCAGTCTGTTCTCCGACATCAGTATGATTCAGCACTGGCTCAAGTCTCCAAATTTCCTGAGTTATACACAGTTTTTTATTGAGCTGCTTGTCCTGAGAAGGAGATGCCTCCTTTCTATAGAAAATTCAGGAGAATAGCACCTTGGTAGACTACTTGGAAAATTATTTTCCACCATTGTTTTTCTTCCTTGTTTCAGCTGTGCTATAGACAATATGTATGTCCTTTGGGGGCAGAGGTAAAGGTAAAGGTAACCCTCAGAGATAAAAACAATTTCCCTGCTCCTTATGTTGGCTATAGAAGAGGTGAATGATCAGGTTGATTTTTCTCTTTGCCTCAGTGCAGATTCAAAAGAATGATGCTTGGATCAGTTAGACTTGATTGCAAAAAATGTATATCATGGAACACATAGTATTCCAACATTTATATTTAACGTGCCCATTTTTTTCTCTTGCCTCAGGTGTTTTCTCTGGTTATATTTGCCTCCTTGGTGACTGAAGGATATCAAAACTTGACAACCTCTTCCCAGCTACATTGTATTTTTAATGATAATGGGGCAGCCTGCTGCTATGGCATCACAGTTGGCGTACTTTCTTTTCTCCAGTGTCTCCTCTTTTTGGGCTGTGATGTCTATGATACTTGCATTACTAATCACAAGTTCAAGTATGCTATCCTTATATTGGATGTTACTTTCTCTAGTGAGTAGTTTTTTTGTTATTTTGAAAATAATCATGGGGTTAAATTTCAATATTTAACAATAATTAGGAGATAACTGATGCCTGTGAACCCCAATATTCTAAATATTTTACTTTATAGATCTATCAAAATTGTCCTCATATTTTCTCACTCCTATACTATCCCCCCAGATAGCAAGCTATTACAGTCGTGTCTCGCAACCACCCTCCCCATTAAAATCACAAGTTCTATCAAAATGAAAATGTCAACCTTATTTTACAATCCAACTGCTGTTAGATTTGATCTACATTTGACCATGTTGTGATTACACTATTGTTGATCTTCCAAATGAACCTATCCAGTTATTAAAATGGTTTCCGAGGATCTTCTTTGGGTTCCTTTATTATTTGTATTGGCAATAAATAGTGATGAAAATGGGCACATTTCTAGGCTTTCTACCTTGTTTCCAGGGAAAACAAGTTCTCCTTTTCCATGGGGATCTTCTATTAAAAAATTTACTTCAGATAATTTGGGGCCCTCTGTAGTTATTTTATTTTTGTTTGTTGTCTTTATTTATTGTTTTAATATGTCTGATAATTTCCTGTAAGTTTCTTTGAGAAACTAAAGGCAAGATTCTGTTTTCTTAATGAGGAAACAATACACATTCAATGATTGTGGAAGGAAGAGATAGAAACGTTCTGGTCACTTTGTAGTTTTAGGTCTCTTAATTTTTTTATCTTGTTTTCTGGTATTTCAAATTGCTTTCTTTTTCCTCAAAAAAATACTATGACCTTAAGATAATTTATGTATTGATCTCACTAATGGTATACACTTTCTTATTAATATTTACAAAGGATTAACTACATTATTTAGATAATAAGACCTAGCTCTAATGCTGAGAAAGGTAGAAGGAAAGAGGAGAAGAGGATGACCAGCAGCAAGCTGAATAGACTCAATTATTAGTGGGTTCACTGATAAATGACTTGATAGCTCATGTAGGGACTGATCACTATGGAGAATTTTTTTTAATATGGTTGCTAAGTCAACAACTTGATCACCATACAGTTACTCATTGCTTAATGACCAGTTGTTCAACATTTGAAGTTATGAAGGGCTTCAAAACTACTTTTGATTCATCCTTGACTACCAAACCCGTTCCTTGTGTCACACAATTACATTTCAGGCGCTTGGCAGCCAGCTCAGATTTATGACTAGTTGCAGCATTCCACAGTCGCTTTAGTGCAATCTGCAATGCTTTTTGCCGTTTTCTAGCAGATATTAGATATGCTTGATTCACTTAATGATTATGTGGAGTTTTTTTAACCATCCCTTGATTTGCTTAACAGCCACAGTGACTCACGTAACAACCATCATAAAACCAGTTGTAAAATGGAGTCAGATCACATGGTAATCAACAACTGCAACAATTTATGACTAGATGGCTCAATTGTGGTCATAAACTGAGGACTACCTGTAATCACTTTTTAAATATACAATTTATCTTTCTCTACACTAAGGAGTTGTACTGGGGCTGGGCAGTGAAGAGCAGTACACTTATTAAATCTATACCATGTAGTGACATTATTTTATCATTTTTAGAACAGAAAATGTTTCAAAAATAGATTTTGGATTCTGATTCAATTCCTTAATAGAAGGATGAGTTTAGTCCATTTATATAATATCTTTATCAGTAGAGCCAAACTTCATGAAATAATTTCATATTTTAAGAATATAGTTCAGCTTTTATCAATTAAATCATATTTAAATCTTATTTAAATAATCTTGGAATAATGTATTCCAAAATTATTTTAATATATGCTGGCTTGAAAATGAAACAAAGCTATCATTGGATGTCAAAAACATTAAAGAACTCTCAATTTTCTTACAGTGCCAACATAAAAAAAATCTAATACCCAATAATTTTTAAGCACTGGTGGTCTAGAAGTCCTTATAGGGTATGGCAAAAGAATAAAAGAAATAATGAAAATACTATTTTTCCCCCCAGATACAGCAGTGGGTCTCACAGGATTTATGCTAACACACAACTTATTTGTTTGTGTCACATTCTTAGTCATCTTCTTTCCTCAGTGACTTGGACATGCCTGTGGTTTATTGGATTCTGTATCCTAACCAATCAGTGGAACCGGTCAACTCACTCCTACCTGCTGGGAACTAGTGCTGCACGGGCTAGTATTGCCTTTGCCTTCCTTTCTGTTCCATGCTGGGTGAGTCAGTCAAGTACATCCATTATTATTTCAGAATGAGTCTGCCATGGAAGCAGAGTACATCCCTGCAGAGTATCATTAGCCACAAAGGCAATTTCATCTTATTAAGGTCAAATGAACTGCCTTAAGGAAGCATATATCATTTACTTTATTCATTAAATCAGATGAGGATAATCCCATAGTGGATGATGTTTACTTTTCAATGAAATTAATTTTTTTAATTGTAAACAGTTTGGTTCAGCATGCATAACATTTGTATTTGATCATTCTTAAATGTACTGCTACAATGTAGGTATTTCAAAAGAATGTATTAGACTGAACTAAATCGAACTAGTACTCCTATGTAACACTTAGATTTGGAGTGGTTGCCGAATAGACAATCATATTATAAACCTAATGATCTTATGATTCCTCAGATGCCACTGAACTTCCAATTTTCTACCAGCCTTCACTAGAATGGCTTACTAATAGAGAAGGGAGACGGGAGTTGTAGTTAAGTGACATTTAGAACACTACAGGTTCTGTATCCCTGCACTATCCTCAGATTTTGTCAGAAGCTTATACAAGATAACTCAAGTTTGTGTATTGAAAAAAATATACAACATTTTCTGTTTGCTTTCTGCTGTTTCTGTGTCTTCCATTATTTGTTGAATTTCTTTCTAATTTTCTGTACTATTGTACTCAGGGGTCCTTGATGCTCTGAGCTTGGTTGTTTTCTTGCAGATGTTTCATTACCAAACTAGGGAACATTGTCAATTCTGATAATGAAAAAAACCAAGCTCAGAGAGCACCAAGGACCCCACAATTCAACCCTGAGCTACAATGTTCTATTTTATTGGAATCATACCCAGGTCACCCATTTTCTGCAAAGATTGCTTCCAGGGCATAAATAATTTTGCATTACTGTGAAATGGACCCCTGATTCCTTTAGACTTGTAATTAAAGTTGATGGTTCATATTGAAAACATCAAACCAATCTATCTTAAACGCTAATTTTCTGGAATGTTAGTATTTTAAGTATAGAAATACAACAATGAGGAAAATATGGTTACTCTCTGTTTCAAAACTTTAAAATTAAAATCTAGTTTCTTTAATTTCTGGGAATGAGAAAAATAGCTCAGGAATGAGTTCTGAAGCAGGTTTATTCCTTCATTTGTTAAGGAACTGGGTGACTCACATTTCCCATCAAAAATATAGAATCAATCAGGAGAAGCCTTCATGTACAGGCAATAGCAGTACTCATTTATTTACAAACTTGGCACAGAAAAAAGTCAAGCAATTCAGAACTCAGGCTTGTCCATGAATGATGTTCTTTAACTCAGGAAGACTGAACAGTTAACATACATTTTACATCCAGCAGAGACCATATTGGTAACAACTTACTTGACCTCCTGCCAAGCTCAGAGCATTTTAATTCCCACTGCTTACTCGGCCAGTTTACTAAGTACATTTTGCAGAAAGTACACCTTTGAACAAAGTCTTAATTTAAAGACTACAGAAAAATTGCAGATTTCTTGTTAGTTTCCTTCACTTATGAAGAGAGATGATCACAATTAACAGGAAATTAATGAATTGAGACTAAACTTTGTAGAAGGGATGTGGATCTTTCTTCTGCAAGTTGTGTTTTTCTGAGTGCTTTATAATTTTATCACCAATTTAACCAGATGGTTTCATAGTGTCTTGGATTCCTTAAAGCCTTTTAAAAGCTTGGTGGCAATAAACTGCTTTCCAAGAGTTGAGTATAGGGGCACTTAACGGGGTCAAGACTGTAAAAAATATACTCCTGCCCAAAAAAAAATACCCCAAAGAAGAAGATCCTGAATTGTAAGGTACTCCAAGGAAGAGTACACAGAAATAAATAAGTAAAGGAATAATCCTACCATTTATCACACTCACTCAAAAAAGGGGAAGGATCAATACAAAGCATAATTAATACAAATCTAATGGCTACCGATTTTTTTCTTCTGTTCAATTGTGTCTGATTTTGAGAGACTACCTGGATATGTCCCTGCAGTTTTGTTGTTGTTGCATTTTTTTTTCTTCAAAAGTGGCTTGCCAACTGCTCCCTTCCTAAGGCTGAGAGAAAGTGACTGGCCCAAGGCCACACAGTTGGCTTTGTGCCTAAGGCAGATTAGAAACAGTCTTGCAGTTTTTAGCCTGATACTTTAACCACTACACCAAACTGGCTCTTGATTTAGCATTAATTGCCTGTAAAATAAGATGCCTAATTTATTTTTAAAATATACATCATCTGCAGTCTATCAAACATGATGTTCACATTATACTCCATTTTAGGAGAAGTGGTAAAAAGGAAACCAAAAAACCCACAACAACAGCCCCCAGTCCACCTCCCTAGAATAAAGGTGAGGAAAGGCTACTGAATAGATGTATGGTGAGTGCAAAGAAAGAAAAAGGGGGGAAATAAAGCTGGAGATGTTGGAAACAGATAACTGGAGAAGAAAGGGAAGAGAAAGTTCAAGACCCCCCTCCTGCACGAGCTGCAGTGGCTCCCTGTGGTCTTCCGGGTGCGCTTCAAGGTTTTGGTTACTACCTTTAGAGCGTTCCATGGCATTGGACCAGGGTACTTACGAGACCGCCTTCTGCTACCAATAGCCTCTCACCGACCAGTATGCTCCCATAGAGAGGGGCTTCTCAGGGTGCTGTCGGCCAAACAGTGTCGACTGGCAGCCCCCAGGGGGAGAGCCTTCTCTGTGGGGGCACTTACCATCTGGAACGAGCTCCCCCCAGAGATACGGAGGATCCCGGATCTACGCACGTTTCGTCGTGCTCTCAAAACATTTTTATTTCAGCAGGCTGGCCTGGCCTAACTCTCCCTTTTAAATTTTAAAATTCGCATTGTATGCCGCCCTTCTCCGGAGACTCAGGGCGGCTTACAATGCGTTAAGCAATAGCCTTCATACTTTTGTATATTTATACAAAGTCAGCTTATTGCCCCCACAAACTGGGTCCTCATTTAACCTACCTTAGAAAGGATGGAAGGCTGAGTCAAACTTGAGCCTGGTAAGATTCAAACCTGCAGTAATTGCAGGCAGATGTGTTAATAACAGGGTGCTTTAAACCACTACTACCAAGGCTCTTTTAAATTTTTAAATCGTTTAATTTGTTTATAAATTGGGTGTTTTAAATTTGTTTTGGCCAAAAAAATTAATAATTTTAATGGATTTTTAATGTTTGTATTATCTGTATTTTATCTTGGCTGTTCACTGCCCTGAGTCCTTCGGGAGTAGGGCGGTATAGAAATTTGATAAATAAATAAATAAGATTTAGGCATTACTAAAAGCAGGCAAATAGTCTCCCCTAATAACTTTTAGGAATATTAATTAGGAATATTCCAAATAATCAGTCACCTATACCTTTTGGTAGCAATAGTATGAGTTGCCGCTCCTGCTCAACTGTTGAAAGCAATATGGAAAAACCCTTTCCAATTTACCAATAATTATTTGGAGGAAAATATAGTTTTATTGGGTAAATACAATTTCTTTTCCTAATACTACTGCCTCAACTAAAAATCCCTTAAACCTGTTTAGTTGAATTTATGCAAGAATAAGATCACTTTTCTTAGCAAACCAACTGGGAGTCCTTAGCATTTTTCTTGGTGATCTAAATTTTCTTCCAAGATCTTACAATTACATTCTCCCACCTTCTCCCGAACTTTTAAGCATTATCTTTCAGCCTTTTCAGACAAAGAATGACATAGTAGTCTCCGTCCTATGTATCCTACACATGGATTATTAAAAGCCTCTTTCCTTGATAACACACTGACAGGTCTACCATTCAGCACAATGTAATATTTAAAAAATATTGCACTGCCTACAGAAAATACGGATTTTTGACAGATATGGAAGAAAAATTATTTTTTTCAAGATGCAGTTATTGGGACCCTAAACATACAGTTACCGCCATTTCAAGCAAGATGGAACATATGGGAAATCAAGCATTTGTAGGTCTATATTTGGGTATGGTGTTGCTTGTCTTTTTACATACATCCTGAATGTCAAGTTGTTTAGATTGTGTGCCATTAGCCAGAAAGTATTCAGACCATTTCGGTGGTTCATTCTATTTTTTCAGAGAATCGTAACAGCTCAGAAACAGAATCATTGCCCAGGGAAGTTAGCTAGTGCATTTCTATAACTCACTTAAAGAGTAAATCTTTTCAGGAGCCTTTTTCATCAAATCCGAGTCACTGAGATTCTTTTCTCCAAAGTTTGCTAATTTAAGGACAAAAATCTCAGTATAAATTGGTTGGAACTGAAAATAGTATATTAAAACACACTTTTTCAACATTTAATTCAGGGCAAACCCTATCTTGACCCACACATCTGATCAAGTTCACTTAAATAGTAAGAGGAAACATATTCCCAGTTCATAATGCACTGTCACCTTTTGGTTGGATTGAGGAAAGGCCTATTTTGAATATCAGCAGAACATATGCAAGATTTAAGAACCAGTCCATAATGGTTCTACCTATATGATAAAAGGGAATGGAATATGCACCAATAATGTTCATTTGGGAATTTAGTGATTTGTCATAGTAGTTGTTAATGTTTCTCTAGCAAATAACAAGTCTAACAGGTCTTACCTCTGTATCCAAAGCAAGGATACATATTTTCCCTTGAGGACTCCAATTACTTTACTGCTCTGCAAGATATGGTTATAAAGAGCACTTGTAATTTTAGTGGTTCCAAATAATTAGTGGCCAAGGAAAATTTGATCTTAGATCTAGCCATGACAAGACTGCTTCCTATCTACTACAAAGGACCTTATGGGATTTAGTTTTTCACTCAAATCCAGCTGACCATATATTTGGCCCTTGAGAATAATAGCATATAGTCATTGATACTATTTTGATATGTAGGAGACTTCATAAAGAGAGTATATGAATTAGAGACTTTTATAATATAACGTAGGGGGGGAAAGTTTGGGCTCAATCTGGACTAAAAGATGTTCTTGCTTTTCTCAAAGAATCCGGGCCTCCAATCTAAAGAGATAGGTAGATGCTATTGCATGTTTTTCCCCCTCTCTAATCCTCTACTAGCCTAGCTGCCTAATCTTAAAGCTAATATTTTTGAGGCATAGCACCATGCTATAAAATCCCAATTGTTGATGGGAATTTGTCCTGGAATTTACACAGGATATTTAGTCAATATTTTGATACTATTTTAAATTCTATGGCTTCACTTTACTCACATTTGCTCTGAATATATACTGAAATGTACATTTTAGTTCAGGAAGTACACATATTTAATAGGGGGAAATGATTGCATTTGATATTTATGATATCTTAAAATTGTATTTGGATATTTATAGCATGTAGATGTTTATATTTGTAGCTTTATCCAAATATTGTTCTGCATTGCAATAAGTGGGAAGAATAGTTAATTCGCAGATATTCTGTTCACTGCAGAATACATACATGTCACATTAAGGACCCAATACTTGTTTTCTCAATTTTCTCCTAAAAATCCTATTCTGGAAAACTTTTTTCTTTTCAATTCTTCATTTTAAAATGATTAAACTCAACATATTTCATTTATTTCTGTTGGAAACAAAGTGGTTGTTGTAAAATAGTTGAGAGAATATATTACTTATCAAGCTAAATACTTCATTTTTCCATAATCTTTACAGTTATTTCAGGAAGGCTAATATTTTTATTAATTATTATACCATATTTTGTAATATCATCCTAAACCAGGACAAGATCAAATTTCTTATCATAAAATTACCTAAGATTACAGGTACCTGACTTGTTACCGCTTCTCCTCCATAGGGATACCTAGCTTATCTGGCTGTGAAAAACCTGTGGGCTGAGCCACCTGTGCCGTATAAGCGGACGCTGGATGAAGGATCTGTTGCTCTGACCACCCTTTCTACATCGACCACCACCTCTCTTCCCAATAATATGGGATTCCCTGAAAACATGGGTGCAGCTTCCTACCCATCCACTCCTGTACCCCATCGACTAACATTAATGAATACTGATGACTAAGCAGTTCTTTGTTCCTGTAGTAAATAATTTTTACTAAAACAAAAACAAAAAAAACCACCCAAAAATGTCTGAAGTTGATTTTACTGAATCAAAGCAAAAATAAAGATGGATGGACAAGGAATTTGTAAGTACAATATAACGTGGTCATTGTGCGTAATATTAATACACAAAAGCTTCATAAAACCTGAATGTTCATCCAGATCCTTCTGTCTTTCTTGGGATGGCATACATATCGATTATCCTTTAAAGCCAAATTAAGGCTTATGTATTGGGGACCTGTGTATTAAAATGCTAAAAACCATTATGCAGGAGGAAAAAATAATGCATATGGAGCTGCAAAAATAGTTATATTTTCAGGAATGGATATAGCACTGTGCAAGTATAGTTAAAAACTTATTTTAAGATATAAAAGCAAGCATGTGGGAAGACTATTTTCTATTCTCTATTGGCAATTGGTAAACAAGTAGAGGCAAATTGTGAAGCTGGTATGAAGAATTCTATATATTATGCCTTTGTCCGACCACTGATTCAGATGCTCTATGCTGCTTATTTGGGTTATATGGATGCTACAGTATAAGATTTTGTAGAAAAAAATTCAGTATAAACACAACTGGGACTGTGTATGTGGATTCATCCCAGATGGACAGATGTAACTGCCGTAACCATTAGGGCAATTTTATAGTTCACATGATCACAGAAGTGGCTAGTACCTATTGCAGGCAGTATCTATGGGTAGTACAAAATACAAATTTTTGCAAGGAGTTCCATGGAAAATGTAAATAATAAAGTACCCCATCTTAATTCATCTAATAATGACACAATATTGAATTGTATTTTTAAGTAATCAGTTTTCTACAGGAAGCAACTGTGGAACCATGGTAATTCACAATGACCAAAACCAGAAAACTTACCAATTGCTACTGAATCATAATTATGTAAATAAGCTCTGAGTCTTAGCCTAGACATTCATTTTCCAATGACTAATCACAATTCAAAACAAATTGCAAATTTTGCTTTATAAATTTATGAAAACCAACTATGGAATTATAGCAGAGAATTATTTCAACAGTTAGTAATTTAATATGGCTATTTAGAAATGGCTCCTATACACGCTGAATTCAATGAGACTATTTCTAAGTAATTGCATAAAATCGCATGTTCTGCGCAAACTTGCCTTCATAGTCTTCAAAGCAAGTATTCTAAAAATTTTGCTTTTGAGTAAGCATATACATACTTTAAATCAAGGTGTAATACAAATTGGAAGTCTAGATTGGCCGAAATATGGCTTGAATTTTAGTTTCACTGATTGTTCAGGTTCATAGCAGCAGTACAACAGATTAAAAATGTTCTCATATGAAAACATACAAATTTGTTATCAATTCAGAGATGATGTAGCATCAAGGAGCAGCAATGATGGGAAATTTATAGAAACAAGTATTTAATAGCATAGGCCCCAGGAGAATAAGTCACTACTTTAAGAGAGATCAGAAAAAGCACTATAAAAAATATGGGACAATGAAGACGAATAGCACAATATACTCTGAAGCACAAAGATTACAAACTGCCAAAAAGCAGAATTTATTTTTATTTAAATTCCCATCCTTCCCACAAAGGCACTAATTAATAAGGGGAAGAGTTTTTCCATTTTATTTGTAGTGGATGAAGATTTAACCATCAAATAATACAAAAATGAAGAAAGTAAGTGACAAATATTTAAAGGAGAAAGGTATTTTCTTGCCACTAATGTTTCAAAAACAGATCCAAGGAAACCCATACTTAAAAGAAAGAAACAATTTGCAAGCATTCCTGTCTATCTGGATAGCTTTGTAGCACCAGGCCTTCATGAACAGAAAAGCTTGCATTTCATATTAGCATTTATCAACATAACACCCAAAATAATGAGTGCAAACTAAGACGATAGAACAGGTTTTTAAAAAATGTATTCCCTACTTGTGCTGATTCATCAAAAATAATACTCAAGCATTATAGACACAGAATGATCAAAATGGGTTAAAAAACCCGCAAAAACTACAATTTACATATTAACCAGGAGTAGTCATTGTTAGCTTGGGATTCAAGCTGTGCTTCACATCACCCCCAATTATAGCAGTCTTGTTTTGTAAAAGGACCATCCGTTGTTTTGTCTCAAACCACACTTAGATCAAAGTTCAGGGTGGAAGTTGAGATCAATAGGACACTAATATTTTAAAAGGAATCTGAATCTGCACATCGAATTTTCTGTGAAGCATTCCCTTCATTCTCCTTGGCCAAATATTTCGTTGCAGTCTTGATCTTTACTTATGCAGGCAAACTCAACTTCTTGCCTTTTAGAACTGCAAGAGGAAATAGAAATAAGAAGAGGTAAGACCTTCATTAAACTTTAGGCAACATACCAAGTAATATGGTGCCATTGCTTCTAGAGAGAGAAAAATGTATTTTAATAATATTTTAATTAAGAAACCATTAACCAAGAACAGTCATTATACGTAAGTCATCATAACATTTGTGCTCTTATTTCATATACTGATAGCAATGCTTAATTTTTATCTTTACATCCATCTATTAAATTTAGATACTGGTCATCTCATTCTCAGAGTGACTCGGCAGTATACATATAAGGGCATAAAAACCTTATAAAGATATCAATAAAAGGGAGCCAGATAAAACAAGGATGTAAGTTAAAAGGCGGAGGGCTTGGGGTGGTGGCTGGGATGCTAGTCATCCTATTAAAAATAGCACTACGAGAACACAATATATGTGCATTAGCAATAGCACTTAGACTTATATACTGCTTCATAGTGCTTTACAACGTTCTAAACAGTTTACAGAGTCAGCATATTGCCCCCAAACAATTTGAGTCTTCATTTTACCCACCTCGGAAGGATGGAAGGCTGATCTTGAGCCTGGTGAGATTTGAACTGCCAAATTGCAGTCAACCGGCAGTCAGCAGAAGTGCAGTATTGCACTCGTAACCACTGCACCACCATGGCTCATACTGCCCAAAACAGCCTTTTGAGGACAGCAATTTTTTTGGGCATGGAATACTAACATACTATTATGGGAATCAAAAAATGAAAAGATGTAGGGGAAGAAGTTATGGCAGAATAGAAATATTACATACTATTACTTCTAGTGTACTATATATATTTCAATAATAATCCCAATTGCTTGCCTATCTGCATGAAGCAAAAACAATACAGGTACTCTTCAACCTACAACGGCAATCGGGATCAGGACTATTGTCACGAAGCAATGATATCATAAAGTACAACTACTGTGCTTAGTGCCAGAAATTCAGGTAGTTCAGTTGCTGTTATTAAGTGAATGTCCTGGTCATTAAGTGAAGCCATTTCCTGGTGGCTTCCCATAATTCTAGTCAATTGGGAAACTGGTAAGAAGTTAAAAGCCCCAGGCATTGGGTGGAAAGGGGAGTGAGGGGATATGAGGGAGGGTTGGGACAAGTTGTGAAGTGCCTGAATTTTCAGCTCCAAAGGCTTCTGAAGCCTCTCTACTCTGGGCCTGAAAATCCTCTCTGGTTGAAAACTCTACTTGGATTTCAGCACAGTGTTTTCAGCCTCCAGAATGGAAAGGACTCACTCTTGATTCTGGGGGCTGACTGAAAAAGTTCTGTGCCAAAAACCAAGCAGGACTCTGTGCAGAAAACACTTTGTGCCGAAGAAGAGGCCTCTCAACTCGGGTGGGTGGGATGGAAACAGCCTGTGCAAAAATCCTACTTGGATCTCAGCATGGAGCTTTTTCAGGCAGCCCCCAGAGATGACAGGGAATTCTCTTAGCAGGCGGTGATGGCTTCCAACCTTCCTTGCTGGCTTTTCTATTGACACTTTGGAGAAGCCAGCAAGGAATATTGCAAATGGTGATCATGTGCTTTTAGGACACTTGGCAGCTGTTCATAATTGTGAACTGGATGCCAAGCCCCCTGATCACAATCACATGACCATAGCGTTATTGCAACAGCTATAACTTCAAGATCCTGTGATAAGTCCCTTCATTCAGCATCATTGTAACTTTGAACAGTTACTGAACAAACGATCGTAAAATGAGGACTACCTGTGCTAACAAGTGGAAAATACAAGTTGCAGAAACCCAAAACAGTTTTTTAAATCAAGTAACAAGAACTGAGTTTATGTAGCAAATACACAATGCCAATATTTGTTGAAGAGGAACTGAAAAAGGGTGGGGAGCTGGTATGAAAGGAGATTTCTGAAAGAAGACGTCTCTAGCTGTATCACAAACTAAAATGTTTTCTTATGGTTGCTTTTAAGTCTCTATATATCTTTGTAATTATACTTTAGTGATGCATGTATGTCTATGTGCATGCACAGAGGTCTCCAAACTTGGCAATTTAAGACTTGTGGACTTCAACTTTCAGAATTCCTCAACCAACCATTGAGATCTCTATGCATGAACACAGATTGAATATAATACTCTTAGACTTTAAAAAAAACAAACACACATTTCATTAAGGTTTTCAGTACTCAACGGACAGTTCAAATCATTTTGATGCTACAAGTAAAAACAGTTTAAAAAGCAATACATAATTTGTCGAACACTTGCCCTTTAATAAAACAACTAATTCAATTTCTGTTAGGCTAGTCCAACAGATTTTATTATATTCAACCCTACAGAAATAGCTTTTTAGTGCTCACGGTTTTGAATATGTGAGCACTATTTTTTTGCAAGTTCTTTTTGATCCTAGGAAAAAAGGTGATGAAACTGCTAATTAATTTGTCAACTTACAATTAGTAAAGAGCTGTTGGTTAATACACTTCCCAGCATCAAAAAGGATTGCATTCAGTTGAAGAGTGCCCTCTAGTGAACTTCCAGTTTAGCAGTAACATTTAATCAACGCACATTGAGACATGTGGTTGAAATTTACTGATTCCCAAATACATTTTTCAGAGTATAAGATGCACCTTTCCCCCCACCCCCAAAAGAGGGTGGAAATGCTAGTGCCTCTTATACACTGAATATAGCCATTTTTGGCCTCCAAAAGCCCCGCCCCCGCTTGTTCCATTTTTGCGAAAAACAGGCCCGTTTTTCACCTGATTTTTGCAAAAACGGGGGCGTTTTTGCCTCCCCTCTGCGCATCCCATTTTACAAAAAATTGCAGTTTTTATGAAAAATGGAGCACGCAGAGGGTTTTGGAGGCCTGCAAAGTGCTCCTGGGGGCAGGGAGGGCAAAAACTTTTTTTTCCTTACCATATTTTTTGGAGTATAAGACACACTGGAGTATAAGAGGCACCTTAGTTTTTGGGGAGGAAAATAAGAAAAAAGCTGATTGGCAGGTGGATTGGCTTCCTGGAATACCCCCAATCAGCTGTTCCCAGAGGTGAATTTTAGCAACAGGTTCCTTGGTTGTGAGCTCTGTTTCTTGCTTTTTTTTCCTGCCTCTGAAAATTTTGAAACTCTGTTTCAGGAAAAACTTTTTTTCCTGCCTCTGAAAGCCTCCAAAACAGAGCTTCAGAAAAAAAGCCTCTGAAGCTCTGTTTGGGGGCTTTTTTTCTGAAGTTCTGTTTGGCGGCTTCTTTTCTGAAGCTTCATTTCTGATGCTTTTTTCAGCCTCTGAAATCTCTGTTTGAGAAGCTGGGGGGGGGAGCTACATTCAGAATATAAGACACACCCAGATTTTCACCCTTTTTTGGGGAAAAAAGATGTGTCTTATACTCCGAAAAATACAGTACCTCTTCGAAATCTTGGTGCGTCTTATATACCGGTGTGTCTTATAGTCCAAAAAATATGGTAATTTTAAAATCCCAAGCACTTTGCTAAAGCTGCCACAGATTTATTTCTTTATTAAATACATTTATATGGCCGTCCAGCTCAAACACTGTGACTCCAGGTGGAAGAGCACTTCTTCTCTATCTCATGCCAATGGGATTTCAGTCAGCAGATCTAATTTCCGTTTGTTCTTGTTGCAAAATACCTTTTGTAATGTAGAGGTAGAAGAAATCGCAGTAGAGTATCGTTTGCACCAAGCCAGCCACAATGGCAATGAGGTCGAAGAACCCCTCAAACTGATAGCGCCAAATCCAGTTGAACAGGTAGAGGGCACGGTAGACTCCCAAAGCGAAGAGATAATGACTTGTGATGGTCTCTGCCTCACCTGTTTTACTGACCATGAAGAGTTGTGGCAAAATAGCCACTGACTCCAGGTAGATGGAGAAGGTCCAAAGAATCTGGAGGAATCCAGGAGAAAAATAGCTTTATATTTTCTGATTACAGTTCATTATATTCCCAAATTTGTGTTGCTGTCACAGCAGTTAGTCAGAACTGAATATCTGTGTGGTCCACCATTGCACTGCAAGATTCAGAACGGATTTGTGTCATAGATTTAAGCATGTCTGCTCCAGCTCACTTTTTGATACTTTTGTCTGTGAAAGACTGCAAATCTTAGTGCAACATGTATCTCTTTTTAAACTGTCCCCCCAAAAACTCTTCTACTGGGTGTTTTGTGAATTCCAAGTACCTCATCCTTTAATAGGTTACAGGTAGTCTTCAACTTACAACCATAATGGAGTTTGCCTATTACCGTTGTTAGGCTGTGTGTAAAAAGTATTTGTTGCTTGTGCAATGAGCAGAGCAGAAACACACAGGGAAGGAGATAAACGTGCAGCTCGCGTGAGAAAGATACTTTATATACAAGATAATAAGCAGTCTCGGTGTAGGTAAAACAGTCCAAGGTCATAAACAGTAATATCAGTCCAGTAAGTATCTTCCCTTACCAAAGCAAACAGACTTTAGTAACTCTTAGTATACAGTACCATATAACAATTCAGTCTAACACCAATCAGCAGAAAGACGCAGGAAGCAACAGGAACAATCAGGAACAAAGAACGCTTCTCTGCGCTGCTTATTTATGCACTGTAGCCTAATTACAGGGTTCAGCAAACCCTGATTACGTGGCTCAGTTGTTTCTTAAAGAAACAGATATATTGCCTGACCAACAGGTTAGGAGTAAGCTACAAGCTGAACCTAACAACCGTCATGATTGGTTATACTGCAAATCATCACAAGACTGATTTAATTTTACTGTCCTTTTTTTTGGCAGTGATTATTAAGCGAATCACCGTGGTTAAATGAATTTGCGATCGATAAGTGAATCAATTGTTTGCTATTGGGCATTTCCCCCCAAAATTGGAAGTAAATACTGGTTTTGGACAAAAACTTCATATGGTCATGTGACCATGGAACACTGCAAATGGCCATAAATGTGGTCCAGTTGCTGAGCGCCCAAAATGCAGTCACATGACTGGGGGGTGCGGTGGGCTGGCTGTCAGAACTGGGTAAATATTTTTAGGGAGGTCCGTTATAATTTCATTAAGTCGTAAGTCAAGGTCTGCCTGAATTGTCCTGAGAGAACTGCCTACATAGATGGCAATGCTGAGTCAAATATTGTCTAATCAATAATAATAGTAATAATAATGATAATAATAATAGAGGGGAAACACTTGGAAATTTCTACTGGCCAGATCAAGAAGTGAAAATCAGCATCATCACTATCACCCTGGACTAAGGCAGTGAGTCAATCATAGTTCTGCATTCTTGCCCAGAAAGCTACAGGAAGAAGATTGGCAGAAATCAACCTTGTTTTTGAAGTTTGACTTATCCGCCTACAATATAAGGCTGAACCCAGGCTGAATCAGTTCATGCTTGAGCCGCACAGAATTCAATGAGTCAAGTTGGTCAAGATTTGGCAAGTTACAACTAAATTATGTCTAGATTCAAGCATTCTCTTGACACCTCTGTTGCTCCAATCTATTGTTGGATAGTTTTCCTTTTAAAATAAAAATGGAGGTTATAAACTCAGATCACATAAAGTTTAATAATCTCTTCTGCTGGTTTGTTGTTTCTTTTCGAAAGAACAGTTTCCAGTTTAAACCACTGCAGATATATCATAATTCTATTTCAGTAGCATTTAGTCAACACATGAGCAGATAGGAATAGCTGAATAAATGTAGTGCTGCTTTGGAAAGCAACATTAGTTCAAGCTTGTATTCCTAAAAGGAACTAGCTATAAAGTAGCAGAACAAGCAGGGACTAGAATATTAAAGATGGCCGTTTGCCAATTAAATGAACAATTTTAGTCATAGGACTTGAACACATCATATAGCTGCAAGTTAAGTATCTGGGGTTTAGGCTTGTTTACACTAGCATACATTTATTTACCTCTAGGGGTGTGAAATCATGATTTACTAGGAAAGCTAACACTGCTGTTGGAATAACCAGGAATTCCACTCTGAAGGTATCATGGTTGCCATCATAGGTGGCTTTGAATTTGCTATAGATCATCCATACTGTAGCATAGGAACAGGCGACATACACCACCTGCAGGAGATAACGTAGATCAAGAAGGGTCATTGAGATTAAATATTGTTTCATCTCTCAGATATTTAATGTAATCAATGCCAAAACTCTGAACCCTTCAATGCCTTTACCCTGGGGAATCGTTCTGAAAGATTACGGTTCCTTCATGCAAACTAGACCCCTTCTTGGTATCTCCTCACTTATATGAAGTATGAGGATCATGCAGACTTCTAGATATTGCTGAACTAGTTCCCAAGCAACCTGCCAATAATAATAGTCACCAAATTTTCAAGTTCAGCATTATCTGGAGGACATCAGTTCCCACAATTCTTCAAATGACATCTATAATCAATCCCTCCCCCAATATCATTAAGCCGTTTCCATCTCTAATTGAGATACACTGAGAATTGGGACACCAATCTCAGGAATCAGCTTAAGATATTCTACAACTGTTTTTCAAGGTCAGAGCTGTCAACCAATACACTGGTTTTATCCTTTAACTGATATAATGATATGCTACCTACTTACATTTAGCTTATCCAGGACTACTCGCAGGGCGAAGAGTTTCTTTAAGACTAAAACCTAACATTGCTAACAATCGTCTAACACTTATTCTCTGCCAGCGCAGCACCTGATGTCCACATCAAAATGTTCTTCATCAACTTACTTCCTTGTACTGTGCAAATGCTGCTAAGCTCTGTGATAAACAAATGAAGACTTCATAATTAGCTAGCAGGAGGTTTCATTAAAATAGGAGAAAGTACTTTTGGATTTTTTGCATAAACTGTTATAAAAGACTGTTTGGCTTATCTCATCCCCTTTTGTAGCTCATAGTGATGCCACATTATTGAAGCAAAGTGTGCATACAGAAATAAGTAGAAGACAACAGAAACTCCTATTTTATTTTCTGTGGCACCTTCTAACTAGTCACAATGACACACTATATAATCCAGCATCACTCCTGTACCTTCATGGAGGTGTTATACAACGAGATGTAGTTTGTAAATAGGTCTAGGTACCGAGTAGTGAAGACAATGGCAAAGAGAGCTTGGCTCTTCCCAGAGATCCCTGCAAGAAAAGCACAAGCCAACATAATTCTTGATCAGATGAGAAAATAACCAATTTTTGACATTAAGGGAAAGAGCAGAAGGTCTTGACCATTAGGAAAAACAGAGAAGATCCTTCAAAACTCCTCACAATTCATCATCCAATGTTACACCTCCTTAACACAAAGAAAGTTTGTAGCATTAAAAAATTTAGACAATTCAGAGGCCTGGAACTGGCACAATAAGAGGTTCCCCGCCATCAAAAGGCATCACTAGCAAGGGCTTAATCAGTGCTCTTTTCCAGATCTACTCATGCTTTTTCTTCAAGTCTAAGAAAATCCACACCCACAATTTGGCTTTCCTCTTTTTCTATAGGGCCAACAGGGTTGTCAGAAGGAAGAGATCACCCAGTTTTATCCAATCCCACCTCAACTAGTTTCCATCTCATTATTCATTGCCTTTAACACATTAGTTTTAAAAAAAAAAACACAAGAAAGAACATCATCAACTTTTCTGCATGAATGCTTCCTTTCTCCCTGCTTTTTTTTTTTGTCCAAACCAGAATGGCCATTCACTTTTTCAAAGCAATTCTTTCTCTAAAAGCAATAAATAAGAGGCTTTAAATATAGAACACCAGTTTCAAATATTAACCCACAAATACTGGGCCTTTCTAAAACTGTGTCATACCAGATACATATAATGAAGGTCACAACAACCCAGTTGAGTTCCAGAAATATAAACCTATATATTTAAAAAAGGAGATAGAAGATAGATAGATAAAATGGACAGACAGACAGACAAAGTCCAACTTGTGTGTGTTTTTAGAAGGTTTACTTTGTGGTAACCTATATCATGGAAGTGAACCCTCACAGTATACACAGAGAGGAAGGATTTAGAGAAGGAAGAGAGGACTAGAGCAAATTTGGTAAATTGCACGTGTAAATCAGCTCCCAAGTTGGTTGGGGCTCAGATACACGCAACTAGGTCCAAACAAACACTTTCAAGCCAGAAATAAAAGCCACTCAGAGACCTAAGGAAGGAATCAGTTGATCTCCCCTTTCCTCCCACCACTCCAGTTTTTCTTACCAGCACAGGATCTGGTCTTCCAAATTTTCAACAGCAAGATGATTATAGCCAACAGATGCGAGATGTCTCCCAGGAAGCGGAATAGATTCATGGCGTTCCGGATTGGGCTGCCGTAGAAAAAGCTTGGCTTACTTTCTCGGTGGGAAATAATCTGCCGAAAGAGAGGAAGAGGAGCCTGTTGGGGGGGGGAGGGGGCAGAGTGGAAGGGGGGAGCAAGAGGAGACCCTCAACAAAGCCGAAAAGGGTGGGGGGCGATGAAGGAGAAATGGCTTTATTGCCTCCCACCTTTCAATCTAAACCGACAAGCCGGATTATCAGAGTTTAGCATAAGGATGGCTGGGAACGAAGGCCACGAAAAGGGAGGGGGGGGGAAAAGCCTCGCCACACCCACAGGTGGGCTGGATTAATCCAGCGGGTGGGCGGGGCAGCGGGATGGGAAAAGGCAGGCGGGCGGGCCCTTTCTTGCTGTAGTTGCCGCCCCCCCCCCCCACCTCCTTCTCCCTTGTGTGGAAAGCCAATAATGGTGGGAGGGTGGGGGTTTTTTCTTCCTGGGGATCCCCCTTTTGCAAGGAATCATTTTTAAAAGGACAATTTATATTTCTGTATAAACTGCCTTCCGTCTGGCTGTGGGAAAGCAAGGCCGGAGCGACCCGCGTGGCGGGGTATAATCCCTGCCCGACCCTTTTTCCCTTCACAGTCACCCACCAGAAAAGGCGCCAATGAGGGGAGCAAAGGTTTAGAACAGTGTTTCTCAACCTTGGTTAGCTTGAAGATGGGTGGACTTCAACTCCCAGATTCTGGGAGTTGAAGTCCACAAATCTTCAAGCTTCCAAGGTTGAGAAACACTGGTTGAGAAGGAGGGATGCATTGCACTGCATTTGCACTGTAGCAATTAAAACGCGACCCATAATTTTTTAAAAGCCTTCTCGGAGGCAAGCTGGGGTCTGATTTAGCCGGAATCTTGCCCGAAGCAAGAAAGAGGAACGGCTGTGCTTTTCGGGGAGGGTGCCAAAGATTTAGCAGAGGCGCCTCCCCACAAACTGTTCCGCTCAGCTGGGGCCACGTTTGCACTAGACCAGGAAACGGATTGAACATAACTATGTGGCACAAATTCCGACACATAAACACACCCTCTTCTTACACACAAACCTATGAGATATTGATTTATGTGTCCCTTTCTTTTTCTTTTTTCTTAATTTTTTATTGAAATGTATTATATTACAATACAATCAGTCAAACTGTTATTTTTGTACACAAGTTAGATTGATTCTTCCTTTATATTTCATTGTTCCTAATTCCTATATGCATCTTAAAATTTGTATTAACTTTTATCTATTTTTTATTTGATTATCAATCCACCTGTACCAATCATCCCACACGTCTAGTATTCTGAGTCTTAATTTGTTCATTTGTGCACATTCTAGAACTTTCTGAATAATATGTTCCTCTGGTGGTGCATCCTTTCCTTTCCAATATTGAGCAATATTGCTGCAGTGAGTATATGTATGATTAAATATCTTCTTTTTTCCCTGTATTTCGTCTTTAGTATTCCCAGGAGAATGGTTTATGTGTCCCTTTCTATCCCAGTGGCTTACAGGTAGTCCTCGACTTAACAACAGTTTGCTTAGTGACAGTCCAAAGAAAAAAAGAGCTATCACTTTTTTCTGTTACAGCATCCCGAAGGTCACGTGATCAAAATTCAGACGTTTGGCAACTGACTCATATTTATGACGGTTGCAGTGCCCGAGGGTCCTATGATCCCATTTTATGACCTTCTGACAAGCAAAGTAAATGGGGAAGCCAGATTCATTTTAACAACCATGTTACTAATTTAACAACTGGGATGATTTACTTAACAACTGTGGCAAGAAAGGTCCCAAAATGGGGCAAATTTCAATAAATGGCAACAAAAATTTTGGGCTCAATTGTGATTGTAAATCGAGGATATACCTGTATATGGTTTAACTTTCTTGTATACAGCTGCTTTGAGAGCCTTTGGCCAGAAAAATAGAATAAGAACTTATTTATTAAATTCATATGCCACCATTTTGCTCTTGAAGTGACTCTAGACCAGGGGTGAAATCCAGCAGATTCTGGAGAACCGATAGTGGAAATTTTCAGTAATTTGGAGAACCAGCAAATTCCACCTCTGGCTGGCCCCAGAGTGGGGTGGGAATGGAGATTTTGCAGTATCCTTCCCATGGAGTGGGGTGGGAATGGAGATTTTGCAGTCCTTCCCCTGCCATGCCCACCAAGCCACACCATGTCCACCAAGCCAAGACACGCCCACAGAACGGTAGTAAAAAAAATGGATTTCACCACTGCTCTAGACTGCTATATAAATTAATAGTAATAAAAGCATTATAATTTTTATCTATAATGAGCACTTCATAATTCTAGTGTATGGGGGTTTTGTTGTTCTTGAGTAAGACATTAACCATGCCTGTTCATGTGTCCATTTGACTTTCTGCCAGTGTAATAGCCCTTATAATTACAAATCAAAGGACTAGTGGTTTTTGTATGTTATCACAAGCTAGTGGTACTGGTGATAGTGATACAACTATCCGTGTCTACTTACCATCAACAGGTGCTTTGTTGGTAACTTAGAAATTACAATTGAATATATCAAGCTAAATTGGTTATAATCTTTTCTTTTTGTATTTCTGTTTTTCCCTCCAGCTGGTCAGTAAATCACATTTTGGTATGAGATGACTGCTTAGTTTTCTGATCAGATTTCAGAATGTGTGTCCTTAAATGTAAGAACATCACTGGCATATGATTTCTTATTATATACATATGTATGTATTTTATTTATTTATTTTATTATTCAAACTTCTATACCGCCCTTCTCCTTTCGGACTCAGGGCGGTGAACAGCCAAAATAAAAACATTTATACATAACATTACAATTAAAAATAGATTTAAAATAATTAATTAAATTTGGCCTGTAATTTAAAACTTATCAATTTAAAATCCGTATCAAAATTTTAAAACCAACCCTAAAATCAAGACAGACCGGCTAACTGAAAAAAGTAAGTTTTTAGGGCCCGACGAAAAGTCCGGAGGTCGGAGATATCTCTGGGGGTAGATTGTTCCAAAGGGTAGTGCCACCACAGAGAAGGCTCTCCTCCTGGGGGTCGCCAGCCGGCATTGTCTGGCCGACGGTACCCTGAGGCCCTCTCTGTGGGAGCGAACCGGCCGGTGGGAGGCTATTGGTGGCAGAAGGCGGTCCCTTAAGTACCCCGGCCCTAAGCCATGGAGCGCTTTAAAGGTGATCACCAATACCTTGAAGCGCACCCGGAAGTCCACTGGAAGCCAATGCAGCTCGCGCAGGAGAGGAGTCACATGGGAGTGCCCCGTTGCTCCCATAATCCCCCACGCGGCCGCATCCTGCCTCCGGGTGTACCCCAAGGGGAGCCCCATGTAGAGAGCATTACAATAGTCCAGACGAGAGGTGACGAGTGCTTGAGTGACCGTGCGTAGGGAGTCCCAGTCCAGAAAGGGGCGCAACTGGCGTATCAGGCGAACCTGATAAAAAGCCCCCCTGGCCACGGCCGTCATGTGCCCTTCTAAAGACAGCAGTGCGTCCAGGAGGACACCCAAGTTGCGGGCCCTCTCCGTGGGGGCCAATGATTCGCCCCCAATAACCAGCGATGGCGTCAGCTGGCTATACCGGGACGCCGGCAGCCATAGCCACTCGGTCTTGGAAGGGTTGAGTCGAAGCCTGTTTCTCCCCATCCAGACCCGCACGGCCTCCAGGCACTGGGACATCACTTCCAAGGCATCGTTGGGACATATAACTTGTTGGTAAAATGCAATAACATGACCATGGGATACTGCAAACAGCCGCAAACAAGGCCATGTTGCTGAGCATCTGAAGTGTGGTCATATTATTGGGGGGGAGCAACCATCATGTTGTAAATTCCCCTTTTGAGATAATTCCCCTTTTGCAGGTAGGTTGAAACTTCAAATAGTTTCTCAGTGATGGGTCGTAAGTCAAGGATCACCTGCAGTTTTTCTAATTTGCTTACTGTATAGAACGAAATAAGACAAGATGTCAATATACATTCACAAAGCTGCAACTCATATTACTGTAGTTTTGAGGAGAAAAGGAAAAGATTATTTTTGCTAATGTCTACCAATTGCACATTGGGGCTTTAAAGCTTTTATTGCTACATGAATATTCCTGATGTGGAAGTTTCAGTCTCTACTGATAGCTCTGTAGACCACTATTTCTCAATCTTGGAATTTTTAGATGTGTGGACTTCAATTCCCAGAATTCAATATTTGCATTGTCATGCATCCCTTAAGTTCTGCTTAGTATCTGAGCCTTTTAAAAAATAAAGCCAAACTTTTTGAATGGATGCTATGAGCAGACTCTCTTCTGATGGACTGATGATTGCCGACAGTGGTTGATGATCAATCAATCAATCAGAATAGAGCTGGAAGGGACTTTGGAGGCCTTCTAGTCCAACCCACTACTCAAGCAGGAGACGGCATACCATTTTAGATAGGTGGCTGTCCATTCCTTTCTTAAAAACCTCCAGGGATGAAGCCCCTACAAGTTCTGAAGTCAAGCTGTTTCAGTAGTTAATTGTCCTCACTGTTAGGAAGTTTCTGCTTAATTCCAGGTTTCTTCTCTCCTTGATTAGTTTCCATCCATTGTTTTTTGTCCTGCCCCCTGGTGCTTTGGAAAATAAGTTCACCCTCTCTTCTTTGTGGCAGCCCCTCAAATACTGGAATACTGCTATCATGTCACCCCTAGTCTTTTTCTCTAGACTGGCCATACCCAATTCCAGCAACCATTCTTCATAATTTTTTTTGTCTCCAGGCCTTTAATCATCTTAGTTGCTCTTTACACTTTTTTCCAAAGTCTCAACATCTTTTTTGTAGTGTGGTGACCAAAACTGGATGCAGTATTCCAGATGTGGCCTTACTAAGGCTTTGTAAAGCGGTACTAATACTTCACCTGATTTTGATCAGGGATAACTTTACTTCCATATAAATATTGCTTGTAACTTTTAATTGTCTAAACCAGTGTTTTCCTGCCTATTTGTGCCTAATTTTGCTCTGCAGATGTTGAGTGACCATAATGGAAAAGCTACTACAGGTAGTCCTTGACTTATGACCACAATTGAGCTGAAAATTCCTGTTGCTAAGCAAGACATTTGTTAAGTGAATTTTGCCACATTTTATGAACTTTCTCGTAATGGTAGTTAAGTGAATCTGGCTTCCCCATTGACTCTGCTTGTCAGAAGGTCACAAAAGGTGATCATTTGATCCTGGAACCCTACAACTGTCATAAATACATGCCAATTGCCAAGCATCCAAATTCTGATCACATGACCATGGAGAT